TCAATTAATATATTATTCTTATAATATATTAATAAATCACAATTAACCTCTTTCTGCATTATTCATCCAGTCAAGTTGTTATGGTGAAGGCAAACCAAAAGGACCATGTTACTATCAGTTCAAGTACATACCAATTATAGTTATGGGCTTAGACACCTAATCCAACACATAAAACCCTAAAAATTGACCAAAACATGAACTATTCTAAACAATGAGAAAGTTTCAAGCTTGATACCTCTGGATGATGCACCAACCACAAAAAAGCTCAAATCCAAGAGCTTGGACACCAAATCTCCTTCCTTCAAGCTCCTTCTTCACAAAAGATATTCACAAGAACACTCAATAAGCCACGAATGCTCACACAAGCTATGGAAATGGGATTTAGGGTTTGAGGGGAGTTGGAGGCTGGAAATGGTGGCTAGAAATGAGGCCATCATGTTCCTTAAATAGGGACACACAATACAATTAGGGTTTACACTCTGGCCTAGTACGCCCAACGTACCCTCTGGTATGCCTAGCGTACTAGGTGGTTTCTGCGTTCATGATACACACATGAGTACGCTGAGCGTACACATGCGTACGCCCCGCGTACTCATTTACCACATTTTTCTCAATTAAGGGCTAGTTTTGACAAGTGTAATAAAAGTTAGGGTCATCGATACATACCTTATCTCGGGATGTTACATTTGGAAGGACCAGGTCTGATTTTTTGAACCATGGAGATTATGGCTAAAGGGCTTAATCCATTAAGTTGTTTTGGTCAGTTCCCAAGGCATGGTGTTCTGCTCGTAATAGCACGGTGGCAGGTTTCACCGCGACTGTTTTGTCTTGTAGCTGTCATGATGTGGTCTATGGTCAGCCACGATGTGGTGGCTGACCATTGATCGTTGACTTTTGACTAAGTTGACTTTTGGTTAACTTGAGGGCTTTAGGTTGTAGACCTAGGATTTACCTCTAATTGATGTATAGGTGGTTCGTAGTACTAGTCCTTACTTCTCTGGAGCTATGGTGTTTTTCTACTCGACTGTAAGGTAGGTTTTCTCACTATACTTTGTACTACAGTACGGATACTTTTTATGTTAGGATGTTAGTATGTTGTAGGGTTTTGTTAGGCATGTAGAATTGTTATAAATTACTTGTGATTGTTAATTTGGTAGTTTGTTGTTATATCCATATGTCGACGTATTTTGGATAAGTTGAAGGCCAAGATACCTGGGCAGTCCAACTTTATGTTGAATGCCCAAGGAGGGCGGTCCAACTTCATGATGTAGAACCAAATAGGACGGTGCAAGTTTTATATTGAAAGCCAAGATACCTGGGCGGTACAACTTTATGTTGAATGCCCAAGGAGGGCGGTCCAACTTCATGATGTAGAACCAAATAGGGTGGTGCAAGTTTTATATTGAAGGCCCTGGTGGGGGTCCATCCCTGTACTGAAGGCCTTGTGTACATGCATTGTATGTGTATTGTTGTGTGGGGTATTTTGGAGAATTCACTAATCTTTAACTTACATTTGTGGATTTAAATGTTTCTTATGATTTGTGAGAATCGGTTGGGATAGGTGTAATGGTTTATAAATATCTAAGTTGTGGGATATATCTATATTGTTTGGCAACAGTTGGTTTTGCAGGCTATTGATTATGAATTGATATCATAATAACATTGTGGGATTGAAAACCATATGTGTCTCACCACGTTTCCCAACCCGACCCACTTAATTTATATGCATCACATGTGGCGGTGTTAAGACTGCTGAAGACTGGATTAGGATGCTGAGTAATTGAAGAGAAGATCTGCAATAGTGTTTAGGGTCGTTAGATCATTACGCTGTAACATATGTTGTGTATCGAATATGACATCCTTAGAATTTTATTATTTTGAGACAATCATTTGTACTCAAAATGTTTTAATTTACTGAGATTTTCAACAAATAAATATCTTATAAATTTTAAAAGCGTAAAGATTTTTTTTTCGGTTCTGAAAAATAGGGGATGTTACACTTACCGACTTGAAATGATTTTGTAATGTTATCTTTTGTAGCCCTTAACCGCTATTTACAAATTTCCGAAAAGCAAACAACTTCAAACCTGCATGTTGTAGATTTGCTCACTCTAATTTGAAAGCCTTTAATAACTCATTTGAATCATAAAGTAAGCTGAAGCTCTTCTTTGGTTTTGAACAATTGAAATAACTTAACATACGAAGAATGATTGTGAGCTACAAAACATTTACATTTTTTATACGATAATTTGGGCAATGGTAGGGGTTCATTCATCCCCAAATTAATGGTTTTTGTTTATTCAGAAACTAAACATAATAAGGGTACTTTTCCTGTCGGGTTTGTCAGGGTTCGGTTTTCTTTTCTTTATATTCAGTCTTATTCCCAACAAATTTAATGAAGCTCTGGAATTGTTCCAATGGGTCTCCAAATGGAATTATATTACCATCATCAACTAACAACATTAGTATTGCATGTTCAATTGCAGATTCATCACATCAAATGTTGGACCGATATCAACAGTAACCTTACCTTTATACCTAACATAACCTCTTTTTTACAGGCCCATTTCTAAAAAGAAACATGACTCAATATCATAAATAATAAATTACAAATTTGGTTCTATTGCGACCGTAACGGTTTTCCCATAGAAATCGATTAATACCACTTTCCATAACATAATCAATAACAAATAATTGTACGGTGTTAGGAGACATAATACTAACAAAAGTAAGAAAATATTTGACATCACTACCATAAAAAATCTGCATAAATATGTTTGATCCATATCATTGAAAAGATAGACGTAGTGGATTAGTATGTAACATGAACTTTGAAGCAACCATCATAATTAACCAAGAAAAGTTGATATCACTGCTTAAATCTACACCAAAACATGTGTAGTTTGGAGCAATATATTGCATAGATCTATTGATTCACATTAATTGTCTTCCACTAGAAACATATACTCTAAAAAATTCCTTATACAAACTCATTTTTTTAGTATCCAAAAACTATATTTGGTTTATGCAGCGACAATGACAATAAAATTACCCTAATATTAACAGTTTGGAATGATCGTGCATTCCGAATAAGAGATCCGAAATGCATTTTTCAGTCCGAAATATACGGATGTCAGATTCTGGATGATTTTTTTACCAACAATGCAACTCCAAAACGACCATAACAACTTTAAAATACGGTATTCCGGACTAAATGGTTATTATTCAAAAACTTAAGAAAAATGATTATTTTTCTATTTTAAATTATCTAATTTCATCAAAATTAACTGCGATAACTCTTAAAGAAAAAACCACATATTAAAAACTTATCTAATTTCATCAAAATTAACTGTGAATCTGTGATAACTCTTAAAGAAAAAAAACACATGCTAAAATTGGATCCTATAGAACTTATTTGTTACATATGAAATACACCAAATTAGTGCAAGAATGCATAATTGTTATTCCTCGTTTTAGACGTTTAGCAAAGACTTGTACAAAAATTAGCCCTCGTACAGTCGTACAATTTAAGTCATAAATAACCGTCAAATTACCACAGCATTTTAAATTGTTACCTATTAGCCCTTGTACTATAAAGGTTTTAATTTGGCCACAAAAGAAGTTCAAACATCGTCTCATCCCGATTTTCTCATTTTCAAAATCTCAGATCCACACCCCTCTATTTCTCCTGAATCATGGTCGTCATCTCCGTCTCTACCCTCTCCCCCAATGATTTCTGATTTCCTCGTAAAACCCTAGCATTTCAATCCTTTTGATCCTCTGCAAACCAACTCAAAATTTGATATAATCATACTTACAATCAGAAGCGAAGATGTATATGGCGTACGGATGGCCTCAGGTGATCCCTCTGGAATCAGGGCTATGTCCAACTTCGCAGCAGATCATATACCTTAAAGTTGTTGATCGTTTATTGTTAGTTGTTTGCCCTTCTCATTTTGAGCTGTGGAGCTCTTCGCAGGTCTAATTCTCTCTCTATCTTTGCAAATTGTTAGTATGTATATGCACAAATTTAGAAATTACATCATTAGTTCGCAATTTGAGTTGTGCTAAATAGGTTTTTTACTAGAAACAGTGCGAGATTGATGCACTTGATATATGAAATTGATGATTATGATCATGAATTTTGCTGACAGTGGTGTATGGAACTGTAGTCGAGTTACTATTAAAAAGGAATGGAGTACTAAAATCAACGAGTGGATGCAATGCTTTATTAGGCCACATATTTAAGTAGTTTTCCAATTGCTTTAACTGAAAATACTGTTTGAAATTTTAGCGAAATTTATGCATTTGGTTCAAGAAATTAATAATCATGAGCATTAATTTTTGGTTTTGATCTATATCTGGTGCAGCATAGGGTGAGATTAGGGAAGTACAAGCGAGATCCGGATTCAATAGCAAGAGAGGGGGAAAATGTGCAGGCTATCTGGAGCCCTGATACCAAATTAATTGCTGTTCTTGTAAGTATGGGATTGGCTAAATGGCTTCTTGTCCTTGTTGGTGTTTTTATATAACTTTGTGAGCATCATATTTGGATCGTTTTGTTGCTCGTAAAGTAAAATCTCTTTGCTATGCTTAGAATCATGATATCAAGTGTAGAATAATGTAACTTTTTATATTGTTACCTTTTCTTGCAGACATCTTCATTTTATCTTCACATATATAAAGTCCAGTTTATGGAGAAAAAAATACACATAGGAGGAAAACAACCATCCAGTCTATCTCTTGCGAATATTTCTCTACTTATGAATGAGGAAGTCCCCTTTTCAGAAAAGGACTTGATGATGAGCAATATCATTTGTGACAGCAAAAACTTGTTGGTTGGACTTTCAAATGGAAGTTTGTATAATATGTCTTGGAAGGGTGAGTTTTATGGAGCCTTGGATCTTGACTTCCATTTGAACACTGGAAATGGCCATACAAAATTGTCTAATGGTGTTGTATCATCCAGTCATTCTCTGTCTAGAAAATCAGCCATCACTTATTTGGAGTTTTCATTGCCACTAAGGCTGTTATTTGTTCTATTCTCTGATGGACAATTGGTGCTATGTTCCATAAGTAAAAGAGGTCTGAAGCAAGCTGACTCGGTCAAACCCGAGTATCGGTTAGGCTCTGGCGATGCGGTATGTGCTTCCATTTCGCCAGATCATCAAATCCTTGCTGTTGGCACCAGAAGAGGTGTCATAGAGTTGTATGAAATTAGCGAACCCATTTCACTTATTCGTTCTGTTTCCTTACACGATTGGGGGTAAGTTTGTAAATTGTAATTATATCATGGAATTCATCTTTGAAGTTTGTAATGAATGACTGTTTACCCACGTTTGTTTCTGTAGATATTCAATGGATGATACTGGTGCGGTTAGTTCTATTTCATGGACACCTGATAGTTCTGCTTTTGCAGTTGGATGGAAATTAAGAGGACTTACAGTTTGGTCTATTTCTGGTTGTCGTTTGATGTCTACAATCCGTCAAATTGGTTTAAATTCCGTGTCATCTCCAGGGGTAAAGCAAAACCCAGATGGAAATTATGAACCTTTAATGAGTGGGACCTCGTTTATGCAGTGGGATGAATATGGTTATAGACTTTATGCTGTTGAAGAAGGTTCTTCAGAGAGGATACTTGCGTTTTCTTTTGGGAAATGTTGCCTTAACAGAGGGGTTTCGGGTAAAACCCATGTTAGACAAGTTATCTATGGTGAAGATCGGTTACTTGTTGTCCAAGATACAGATGAACTCAAGTTAATGCATCTTAATCTTCCAGTTTCTTATATTTTCACAAAATTGGCCTGTTCTTCATGTGGCAGCCAGTGAGGATGGGATGTATTTGGCAGTTGCTGGTCTTCATGGGTTGATTTTATATGACATTCGATTAAATCGATGGAGATTTTTTGGGGATGTGACTCAAGAACAAAAGATTCAATGTACAGGCTTGTTATGGATGGGAAAGATTGTTGTTGTTTGCAACTACATCGAGCAATCCGACATGTGAGCAATTTATGCACAATTAGATTCTTAGGGGCTGTTTCTTGTTAACTTAATGGGTTAAGGACTTAATCTGGACAACTGTACATGGATGTTTCTTTTGTACTTAATCTGGACAGAAAGGCTTAATGGTTTAAGCCAAAAAATCTGGCGTAATACATACATACAGTATTTGTTGCATTTTTCCCTTTTTATCCCCACCCCTTCCTTATGGATTCAGACTTAAGATTGAACTAAATTTACATAACAAGTATAGTCATAATATATAAATATGTGACTAAAAAACTATTTTATTGAATTTTTTTACACGTGAAAATCCAGTGACCACTTTAACCGGTATTTCATAAATTGGTGACATTAATTTAGATCCATTTTGTTTTTGATGTTTATTGAAATATATGTTTTGACATTTGGAGCTTTCTTTTATTAAAATAATATATTCTTAAAATAAAAAATAATTAAAAGTATGATACTTTCACATGTAATAATACTATAAGGGTTTACATTTTTTTAGGTTTCAGATTCAGATAGTTTATTCAGTCCAGAAAAGAAAAAGTCTTTATTATGTATACAACACTATATCCAGATAGACATCATCACCCATTGAGCCACTTTATACATACTAGACCTAATTAGAAAAAAAAAAGTAACAATTCCGTATTATGGCTCATGTTTAATTCGTAAATAACATCTATTTATCAACTTTTTTGCAGGTATGAGTTGCTATTCTACCCAAGATACCATCTTGATCAGAGCTCACTTCTGTATCAAAAACCATTGCTTGCAAAACCCTTGGTGATGGATGTCTATAATGCCTATTTACTTGTGACTTACCACCTGTTTGATGTCCATATATTTCATGTGAAGTTATCTGGAGACTTGACTCCTTCCAGTACCCCTATTTTACAGGTAAATGGATTATGTTTGTGAACTGATTTTATTTGGCGCACCATTGATTGAGGGTTACTTTAGTCTTTTTAAGTTTCTTCCTGTATTTTTAAGTGATAAAATGACAAACAGCTTTCTACAGTACGAGAGTTATCCATCATGACTGCAAAGTGCCACCCCTGCTGCAATGCGTTTTATACCTGATCAACCAGAAACTGATGCCTCCGTTAAAGACGTTTCATCATCATCATCATCATCATCATCAGAAAAAGAACCCATTAGGTTTTGCTTCTAACCAATTGAACCATATAAATGGTAATTCTGTGCATATTAGCAAAATTATTTATTGTTTTCCTTTTTTCGTTTTAGATGTTTGATACTAAGGGCGAATGGGGAACTGTCATTACTTGATCTAATTGATGGTCGTGAAATGGAGCTTACAGAGTCTATAGAATTGTTTTGGGTTACATGTGGAAGATCAGTGGATAAAACAAATTTGATTGAAGAAGTTTCATGGTTAGACTATGGCCATCGTGGAATGCAGGTGATAGATAATTTTCGAATCTTACAAAATTCTATTAATTTACCACTTTGTCCTTATCTTATATATGACTGATGACATGATTTCTGGTTACAGGTTTGGTATCCATCTTCAGGTGCAGACCCCTATAAACAGGAAGAATTCTTACAGGTAAGCACAGATTAATGATTTTCCTCTTTTTTTTTTTTTTTTTTTTGACAGAATATAATCGTAATGTAATAATACTTGTAGCTGGATCCTGAGCTTGAATTTGATCGTGAAGTGTATCCACTTGGTTTGCTTCCAAATGCGGGAATTGTAGTTGGAATTACTCAGAGACTGTCATTTTCAGCATGCACTGAGTTTCCATGTTTTGAGCCATCTCCTCAAGCTCAAACTATACTACATTGCCTACTTCGCCACCTTCTTCAGGTGCTTTCAAATTTTATCCTTTCTGCTAATTAATACATAACTCTCATTATGATTCATGATTCGATTTATCGGAATTATAAAAATATGTCAAGATTGGTCTCAATTGCAGGGAATAATTTTTTTTTTGGTTTATTTTGTTTTTTTAATAAAAATAAAGTCTGCAAAATAAGTTTTGTTGGAAAAAAAAAACAAGCTCACCAACCACAAGTTGACATGTTGCATTGGGATGATTAATTACATAAAAAAATTACAATCAAAGCATGTGACAACTGACAACCATGCCCTTTTGAATCAATGGTCCATATTAGTACTCACGAAAAAATGGGTTTACCATGGATCTTAAGCCTCTATAGTATTACTAAAATGGATCATACTACTGTAAAAATAATGGTAAACTTCTATAAAACTGGCTTATAAATTGTTGGTCTTGTTCAGAGAGATAAAAGTGAAGAAGCTTTACAACTGGCTCGATTATCAGAGGAGAAGCCTCATTTTTCACATTGCTTAGAGTGGCTTCTTTTTACTGTTTTTGAAGCTGAAATTTCCAGGTATTTCTAACATTGTTTCTTTTCTTAATCTTTTTCTGTTTTAAAGTATCTCACAAATTATACTGAAACTTTGTTGACAGCCAAAATGCAAACAGAAATCAGAGCCCTTCTCTTTTGGAGAAAACTTGTGATTTAATAAAGAAATTTCCAGAATATTTTGATGTTGTTGTTAGCGTGGCAAGAAAGACTGATGGTCGACATTGGGCAGACTTGTTTTCTGCTGCTGGTAGATCAACCGAGTAAGTTTTTTATTTTTTATTTTTATTCTCTTGTATCAACTTTGCTTGTGGATTTACCTTCTAATTAATAGGTCAAGTTACAGGAAATAGCAACGTACTTTATTCTTTTTATCAATTTAGACATTCTACCTTATCTTTTACCCACACTAGCAATATATTTACATTTATTTATCATAATAACATGCTTACACATTTTTTTTACCAATGGGTATCTCACAGTAGCAAGGTACTTACATTTTCTTTACACACAATAGCAATGTACTTATAATTTCCTATATTGGTAGTAGATATAGAAAATGTAAGTACATTGCTATTATAGGCGAAAAATAGAGTACATTGCTATTATCGACAAAGAAATGTAAGTACATTGTTATTACGGGTAAAAAATAAAGCACATTGCCTATATCGGTAGATAGGGTAAACTACATTGCTATTATTCTCTACAATTTGCCTTAATTAATATGCTGTTTGTTGCTTATGCTGTAATCCAGGTTGTTTGAAGAATGTTTCCAAAGGAGATGGTATCAAACTGCAGCTTGCTATATACTTGTACGTGATTAGGTTTGACTAGTGTTTGGCTTCTGTAGTTAAAGCTTTAGATTTGATGTTTTTTTGTTGACTTGTGTGGGTGAATGAAGGTTATTGCAAAGCTTGAAGGAGCGCCTGTGAGTCAATACTGTGCTCTACGGTTGTTACAGGCCACACTGGATGAATCTTTATACGAACTTGCTGGGGAGTTGGTATGTACATGTGTCAAGGGTAATATGGTCAATACTTAAATGTTGCAGGGGTAATGACGGTATTTTTTTTTTGTTACCCAGGTGAGATTTCTGTTGAGATCTGGAAGGGAATACGAACCTACAACGCCAACAGATTCGGATAAATTATCTCCAAGATTTCTTGGATACTTTCTTTTTCCTTCTAGTTATAGGAGACAGTCTACAGAGGCAAGAAGGTAATTGTTGTCTAGTTTGCATGTGATTCACATTGCTATAAATGATACTAATCGATTTATTGTTTTTGGACGAAATAGCCCTTCATTCAAAGAGCAGAATGCACATGTTGCTTCTGTCAAGAATATCCTAGAAAGTCATGCTAGCTACTTGATGTCTGGGAAAGAACTCTCCAAGCTTGTTGCGTTTGTGAAAGGCACCCAGTTTGATCTAGTGGTAAGAGAAACTCTTTCATAATCGATAATAGCAATGTACTTGCATTTTTACTACCCATATGGGCATTGCACTTTATTTATTACTTACATATTGTTTATTATCAATAAGGAAATGTAAGTATGATGCTTTTTTGTGTAAAGAATTGTAAGTACGATGCTATTATGGGTAAAAAAGTAAAGTCGGTTGCCTATATTGGTAAAAAGTGCAAAGTATGTTGCTGTTTCTGCAATTTGCTCGTTATATAACCATAAATTCTACTGACAGGAATATTTACAATGGAAGTGCTCGTTTGGAGAATTTTGCTTCTGGACTCGAATTGATAGGCCAGAAGGTATTTCTTTTGTTACATAAACTTCTCAATACTCATAATCAAATAATCAGTTGATTTAAATTGGGGGTAGTTAGGTAATTTTACATTTATTACAATAAATCAGTTTCCTATCACCACTCCATATTTGATGACTTTGACCCTAAGGGCCTGTTTGTTACGTAGTGTAGTGCATGACATTTCCCACCCAAAAGGTGGGGACATGGACTTGCTCTTATATCATTTGTTTTTTTTTTTTTTTTTGCATTTACAAAATTTATTTATTATTTTCAGCTTCAAATGGGAACCTTGCAAAGTCGGTTGGATGCAGAATTCCTCTTGTCTCATATGTGCTCGGTCAAATTTAAAGAGTGGATTGTAGTTTTGGCGACTCTTTTAAGGCGATCTGAGGTACGATATCAGTGTGAATGTATTTGCTAGTAATAGTCTCCAATATATATATATATATATATATATATATATATATATATATATATATATATATATATATATATAAAGAATGCTCTCAGTTGTTATAGAACTCAAGTTAGGGACAGTTGAGTAATTCTACATTTATCTCAGTAATCAATTTTCTACAACTCCTTATCTACTGGTCCAAATCTGGTTATTTTCACCCTAAATAATCAGAAAATGAAATTCATATAAGTTAGTAAATTAGTATTGTTTTTAGAAAATATAGTTTATATATGTTTTATGTAATTTTGGTACAGGTTCTCATTGATTTATTTCGCCATGATATGCGACTCTGGAAAGCATATAGTGCAACACTGGAGGTACGTCCCCTGAAATTTCAGTTCAGTTATGTTTAATCCTTGGGTTAAACGCAAGAAATAGCAACATACTTTCATTGATTTCTTTTTAGAGCATCCTATTTTCATTTCTTTCTGTTATAGATTTTTTTTGAAAAGTACAATGCTATAAGTGGGTAGATTTTGCAATGTATAATGTCCTAATAAGAAAAAACTAATTTCCGTAACAGAAAGAAATAAAAGTAGGCTGTTATAAACGTATAATAATAAACAAATAAATGAAAGTAGGTTGCTATTTTTTACATTTTGTCCTTAATCTTTGGAAAAAGACGAGTCACTAATATTGTGTTACATTACGTGTGTCAGTCGCATCCATCGTTTTCTGAATACCATGATTTGCTGGGAAGCTTGGGAGAGAAACTTTCATCCAATGAAATTACAGAAGAGGCCTGATGAGAACACAAATAAATCAAACTAGGTTGTATCATTTTGTATTTGCGGTTCAATTTATTGGTTTTCTGATTATGAGAAAAGTTGCTTTTACACTTACATGTAGTTTTCTTTTTTGGACGATTATCTAATGTATATAAGATGTTTTTCTCAAGAAAAGGTAGCTTTTGGATAAGAGAAGTCATATTTCGATCTATATGCTTATGCATTGCTTGCTAATGGGTGGATTTGGGTTATAAATTTATACTTGAATGAATGGGCCAACCAGCTTCTTAAATTATTTGATTAAATAATTAGATTATTTTGTAGTTTTTACAAAGCATACTCAAAAGGTGGATAGAAACTGTTTTTGAGTCCAACTCATTTCGACTTGTACCAAAAATCTACCTATTTGAGTTGGTTTCGTTAGTTACTTAGATTGGTCAATATGCTCTTTATTCGGGTCTATCATATAAATCATTTGTCTAAGCACGTTTGGACATGAGAGTGGACATCCCCAATAACAATTATTATGTCTACTCTTGTTTGTACTCCTTTCGTTGTAAATGGGAAAGTCTCTTCAATAAAAAATATATACTGATATACTTCTAGTATTATATGTTAGGGAAAATGTATCCAAACAATAATTCAAACTACCAAGGATCCCGGTTTATGACAAGCCACCATGTGAATGCCCAAAATGCTTGTCCCTAAAAGGAGGGCTAACCCAACAAATAGTATGCTTAAATACAAAGATAACAATATCTAACAAAGCAAACAATAAACACAACAATTAGCAAGATTGTGTACATCTTATATATTGCAGTCAAAGAGAAAGTACAACACTCGCAATTAATTAAGAAAAATGAAAGCAAGAGTGTACAAATGATGATCCAAGCAAGAAAAGTCGATTATGAACTAAAATCACAACAAAAACAAACTATAGGGACTGTGTTGAAAAAAGTACTATGGAAAATGAAGGTATTAAAACCCTAGATGTCTTTCCTATTGTTTGCTTGGAGATAAAAAAAAAATATTATTAGAAATAAAGTATTACAACCAAAAGAGAACGAAAAGTCCATTAGTAGCTAAGTGCAAAATTTGCTACGGATTTCAACAATTTTGTAGCATTGTAAAAGATTTGAATCTAAATAAATAACATGCAAAAAGAAGGTTTTTAGAATATTTTAGAAAATGAATTTGGTCCAAATTTGATTTTCAAAAGCACGTAAAAAAATAAAAAATAAAATCGTAGCGCCCTCAAATCGTGTAATAAAACCCTCGAAGTTACAACGTCCTGCTCACCATCGCTCCTTCCTCACTGTGCACCATCGTCCCCATCTGCCGCTTCTGCGTCTTCGTCGCCATCTGCCTCTGCACCATCGTCTTGCTCTGCTGCTGCGCCTTCTCCGCCACCGGCACTGTCGTTTGTGATCGGTATGTAGTTTGTGATTTACCTTCATCATCAGAGAATGTGTTTGATGAACTTGAACCAATGATGTTTATGTTTCTGTATGCATTTTGCGATTCTCTCTTTATTTGAGTTACGATTGCTTATCTGTAGTGGATACACATTTTTCATGAGGGGAATTTTGCTGATAGAAGTATAATAACAATTAATCAGGTTTTATGTCATATCCCCAAGTAGAAAGGATATGTACTCACAGACGATTAACTAATGATTCAACCACACACACTCTCCGCAACTCCTTAGGTTAACTTTCACCTGGTAATTAACATCGCAACATCATTCCAGAAGAATAAGTCCCTACATAGTGAATAACATATTAGTACTTGTTCGGTTGTTCTTCTTTTCCACACATACTCTCAACTCGAATTACTTGTATGAAAGAGTCATTATCCTTTTTGATTAAAGTTAAGCTACAAAAGCCAATGACTAACCTTAATAATTTAGTAGATTAATGGCTCTTAACTAAATAGCATAATCTAGTAAAACAACTACTTCAACTAAGACTTATATATGAATGAATATAATTACTGGAACTAGCGAATTGGGGATGAGGTTATGTATGTGTTAACTTTATACAAACAATTAAGGTCCTTCACTATGGTCTATGGAGTAGCACTCAGTCTTAACGTGGTTTGTTTAAATAGATCTCAATACCTCTGCCTCCAGGTAACTACTGCCTTTCAATTGGCCATAGGTCTTTAAGAAATTTCCAACCATGATTAAATTTCCCTCCTTTAAAGTCTATGTTTGTTTGACTTTAAAAAGTCAACTATAGTCATTAATCTATAATCATTGATTAACCCAAAAGGATTTATCTGATTTTGATTATTTTAGAATTGAATAGGCTATTATAGTACTTATAACTTGCTTGGTTTGCACGCACAATGGTGAGATTTATGCATTTTTATTGCTTTTCATGCTATATATATATATATATATATATATATATATATATATATATATATATATATAGTTGGGTTTGTATTTTCATTCATCATCTATAATATTATTTATTATTTCTGTAGGGTGCTGTAGAAAAAGTCATTGTGCTCACATGTGTATGATTAGCTAGTTCTCAGATTTAGCCTCCATCGAGTGTACAGGGTAGATGTATTATTTGATTGCTAATTTGCATCCTCATTCGATTTTTTGTGTTATATTCATATCAATTGGATTGATATATGGCTACTGCAATTTGGTAGTGATTACTGCAGTTAGGTATATGGATGTAATTTAGTTTTGTTGATGTGTGAATTTGATAGTTAAGGGAGTCGTCCTCAAAATGATGTCTAAACACGAAATACCTTTCCATATTCAAGAGGAAATCATGAAAAGGCTTCCGGTGAAATCACTGATTCAGTTCAGATGCGTATCAAAAGAATGGAAGTCTTTGATTGAGAGCTCTGAGTTTATTGCTGCTCACAGCCTCTGGTGCCACACTCATCCGCAGCATCTGCTTGTATTGTATGAAGATCCGAAAGCAAGTACTGAAATCATCGTGTGCTGAAGTTATATCGATGATGAGACTTTCCCCCAACAGATGTCTTTTCTGACTCCTCCTCCTCCTTTGACCGACGAAGAAATTTTTCTTACGGACATAGTTGGTTGCTCTCGGGGCTTGGTGTGCTTGTGTGGCTGGGCTCCTGATTCGGGTGACACTTGGAGAAGGATTAATGTGGCTCTACTTTGGAACCCTTCGATTAGAAAATCGGTTGTTGTTACTGTGCCTACCGGATCAAGTGGTTTAGGTTTTGGGGTTTGTCCTGTGACCAATGACCCTAAGATTGTGTCAATTAAACGCTCTTCTTGGAAAACCAGGTATCATTGTGAAGAAGTTACGGTTTACAGCTTGAGCTCCGGTAAATGGACAGCTCTATCCACCAATCTCCCCACTCAACTAATTCGAGAATCACTTGGTAGGGCGGTAGTTACTGATGGGTTTATATATTGGGGTGTTGAGTTTACGTCTCGTTACATGATTATGTCATTTGATTTGACTAGTGAGAGTTTTGAAATGATAGACCTCCCTGATAATTTAGCTCTCCAAGATCACGTGCTTGTGTGCATTTCTAAGCGAAGGGACTCTGTTGCTCTGCTTCAATATGCTGAAAGCAACGATATAGACTTCTGTAATGTATGGATGATGGAGCATGGTGCCACTGCTCATAGATCGTTTACAAAGCTATTCACTGTAATAACACCTAACGACATAATGGGATTTAGGAAGAATGGTGTACCTATCATTTTTATACATGATCATGATGATGATGATGATGATTTTCCGGCTAAACTTATTGTTTATGAGCCCAACTTACAACACAACGGTTATCTTGAGATTTGTCCACCAGCTATCTTATTGAATTCCTACATGGAAACCCTACTTTTGCTCGATCAAGTCTGACTGTATTAGTCATTGACATAACTATATATAGGATGAAGATGATTGCCACATTACATTTTCAAGTTTTGAAGCAGGCAATTGAGGATGGATAATATATATGCAGATTAGTTGAAGTTCATAAAAAAGTTGAATGTAGATGTTTTAGTTGTGAGAACAATCTTTCTAACATTAATGATGTTAAACCTCACATTTTTATCAACATTATGCACTTTTATATATCTTTTCAACACTGCTATTTTCCATTTCAAGCAAGTTACATGTTTTAGTTGTGAGATCGATGGATCTTACCACATACCGACTATGCTTGCTTTGTCTTTGCAAACATTTTTATATGTTGGTGCTCAATTAAAAGACATATAGCCCATAGGTCATGCATGTGGTGTTTATAAATTTTGTATGTGGGTTCTGTAATGTTTAAATTATTGTTAATAGGATTTTAATGATGTTTAAGTCATGGAAAAAGTGATAATTTTGTAGTTACGTGGTGTTTTTTTCTTACAGTCTATTCATTGACATGGCTATGATGCAATCTTTTTTACTTATGCTCCATGCGCGCTCTTGTTTCTTATAGGCATTAAACAGCTCTAACATTTTCATCAATTGAGTGTCCTTTCATCTTTCATGCTTTATGTCAAAAAATTTGTCTTGTTTTTCCTTCCGTAAACACCAAGGACATGCTTGATTTGCAGTCATGACTGAATCCAATGGAACTGGAATTTGAGATTCCATTCCATTGCATGTGTTGTTACCATATACACACAATTTAATTCCATCGGGATCTTCAAATTCCTTCCCCCCATGTTTGATGGACTTCACCATTGCTAAGGGAGGATGGAAGGAATTGAGTTTCATTCTTCCTTTATTTAATAACAAAAAATATATAAGTAAAATAAGTTGATAGTTATTTATTTTCTGTTATTGATACATTCCATTTCCTTAAATTATATACGGCTTCATGTTTCATTCATTTGATAGATTCCAGGCATTTCTGATTTCCTCAAACACTAAAAGTGTAATAAAAACTAAAAAGGGATTGGTGTCTTCATATATAATGGTGTTTACTGTTTAGTATTGAAAAAAAAGGCTACAGTATAAGGGAAGGGGAGAGAGGAGAAAATGAATGAATGACTATATATATATATATATATATATATATATATATATATATATATATATATATATATATATATATTGATTTAGAAATTGACATACAATATTAACCACATGTTACGTAAATCACCAAAGGCTATATAATGAGTATAACATATCGATAATATTTTTTCTTAAATTTTTTATAAATGTCAATGGCTTTAGAAAAAAATTGTTTTTTCAGACAAAATATTAAAAACATAGTGATTTTTTAGAAAAATTTCTTTCATATAAATAAATATAAAAAACAATTTATCAAAAACTCTGTTAATAGTTTCTAATTAGATATTTTCTATTCAAATACTTTTAATACGTGCCATACCAAACTTAAAAACACGTGTCATACCTCGATGACTAATAAGCAGATTATCACAAAACAAAAGAAAACACCCCCAATTTAATATTAGAAAGTGAATAGCATCTCTCAGGAACTACCATCGACGAACTGCTTGTCTCCCGCTCTCGATCGTTCGTATCAGGTAACTGCTCTCACTCTCTCTTTTTGATTCGTAATTTTATTCAATTCTGCGTGTTTCCTGGTGCGTGTAAATGAACAATTGAAGACATAATATCCAAGTTAAATGAGGAGTTGATGAAACATTCAAACTGATTTGTTCTCAGATTTGCCGCGTGAACTTTCTACCCTATTCTGCTGCGTTTTTTTTAATTGTTTTGGGTTACTTTGCAGTTGTTTGGAAATAAATCATGGAATTTCAAAGTGACAGACGAAAACAAAAGAATTTGATTTATAGCCTTTGGTATTTGGTTGGTATTATGTTATTCAAGTCATATAATCGACTAAGTTTCATGACCTCTTGGTGAATAATAATAATAAAATAAAAAAACTGAAAAAAACATATTATGCTACTGTCGTTGGTATTCTAGTTGGTGGTGTCCTATTCAACTTATACTATGAGTTGAACATCGGCCAGAGTTTAATAAGTTTTATTTTTTATAGCCTTTGGTAATGAAGGTACTACATTGCTGTATGTTATGTTATTCAAGTTTGATTTCCTACAACTGGAAACATTAGCCAATATGTGAATGTGATGATCCCTGTAGAATGATAGCACCACATGTTGGTCATGATCTTGTCATTTCTTGCCAACCAAACACGTTATAGAATTGGATATTTTGAGGCTCCAAATCCTTCAAATTCCAATTCCTTTGATAAATTCCAAATCCTCCCATAACAATAACCAAACCAAACACCACTTGGTGATTTTAATAGAGTATGGTATAGTTGTTAACGAATTTCACTCGATCATGATATATCCATTCATCCCCGGGTTTTTAAATCTTAATTTGTAGTAATTTATTTTGTTGAAGATAGTTAAGGGAGTCCTCCAACAGCACTTAGAATCAACAATGTCAGACCACATACCTTTCCATATTCAAGAGGAAATCATGAAAAGGCTTCTCGTGAAATCATTGGTTCAGTTCAGAAGTGTGTCCAAAACATGGAAGTCATTGATAGACAGCTCTGATTTTATTGCTGCTCACAGCCTCCACTGCCACACTCAGCCGCATCATCTTCTTGTGTCGTATGAATATCAGCCAATAGATGAAGACTACGTCCTCTTCTCCAAATGTTATATTGATGATGATAATTTCCCCCAACCGATGTCTGTTCCAACTCTTCCTCAATCCATTAAACAACTTTTTCTTCCGAGAGTAATTGGTAGTTCTCGTGGCTTGTTGTGCTTGTATGGCTCTGATCCCGACTCGAAAGCTGGGATGGCCGTAATTTGGAATCCTTCGATTAGAAAATCAATTGTTGTTGCCGATGTGCCTCGTGAACCGTTTTTCGTTGATGTGCTTGGCGAACCATCTTTTGGTTTTGGGGTATGTCCAGTCACTAGTGACCCTAAGATCGTGGTGATTACACAATTTTGTGAATATATGGTTTACACGTTGAGCTCCGGGAAATGGACAAGTCTATCCAAGAATCTGCCCACTATACGGATTGGACTTTCATTTAGCGCGGTAGTTACTGGTGGGTTTCTATATTGGAGTGCCAGGTCAGAGGATCATAAGCTGATTACGTCATTTGATGTGACTAATGAGAGTTTTGAAGTGATAGACCACCCAGATAGTATAGCTCACTATTGTCTTTCTAAGCTTGGGGAGTCTCTTGCTCTCCTTCAGTACGGTGAAGCCTACAACTTCTCTACTGTGTGGATAATGGAGCATCATGGGTCTCAAAGATCGTTTACAAAGCTGTTCACCATAAAGACGCCACACGAGTCGATAGTGGGATTTAGCAAAAATGGCATACCTATAATGCAAGTGACGGATGATGATGATGAACATCTGCCTAAACTTGTTGTTTATGAGCCCCACTCGGAACACAACAATGTCCTTGAGATTTGTCCACCAGTTAATTTTTACTTTGTGGATTCCTACATGGAAACACTATTTCTGCTTGGTTGGTCTGACTGTAGCAGTTATTGACATAACTCAAGGACGAATATGATGGCCACTTTGCAATTTGGAGTTTTGGAGCAACTAGCAAGCGTTCTTACTTCTAATGGTTCGCTGAATTGCACGCTATCACCTTGTTTAAAATGATTTTGGTAGACTAACCGGGGAGATTAATACTAATATTTTACATGTATTTTTTTTGGATGATCATGTAATTGTAATGCATATACCCCCTAATGTAATGTATATAAGATGTTTTATACACGTATGCAACTTTCCTTTGTGCAATTTCTTTCTGGCAAAAAGGAAAAGAAAAGGAAGATTTGGATACGAGAAGTGACAATTTGATTTTTTTTTACTTAAAATACGTCATGACTTGGTTAAATTTGTAAATAAAAACAAAAAGTTTGAGCTTAAACTAGTGAAATACTTGTTTCACTCGCAGTTGTAGTCGATGGAAGTAGTTGGCTAAAATTGTATATTAAACAGAAAGTTTGAGCTTAAAATTTTAGTTTGACTCGTAGTTGTAGTCAATGCAAGTAGTTGGCTATTATATCTAAGACAAAATTGGTCATCTGTTATTAAAAAAAAAAAAACTGTGGATAGAATCCAAACCACAAGAAATATAAATTGCTAAAAGAAATATAAAAAATACAAAAAAGAAATTAAAAGGACAAAACAAACATTTTAAGTTCTCTAGGAATTAAAATGATGAGATATTTCTGATTTTAGATTTTTCAGTAAGTTAGAAATTTTTTTGGACCTTATCCACAGTATCTGACTAATTTTGCATTTTTGTCTAATATCTATTTAAGTATTTAACTTGTTCTAGTTAAAGTAAAACACAAATGATTATATATATATATATATATATATATATATATATATATATATATATATATATATATGCGTCAAAATAGTTGCATCTATATTATATAAACAACTATAAGTTCATGTGATCTATTTAAAATATTAAACCATGTTAATTTTCTCACAATATATCACAAATTTCAACATCATTAAAAGTCCCTAAATGCAAAGACTAAGAGTAATCAACCATGTTATGTTTAGTGATCTTTTCTTTTTGTTATTCAATCGTCACAGAACTTAATAATGTCTTAAGATTCCATCACAACATTTTGATTAATATTTTTTTTTTGAATAATCCTATTTTACATGTTCAAATGACTATATTTTAACTACATTCATTTCATAGATACAAGTTATAAAAAAAAGTGCTAGCTCTAAAAAAAACCAAATACTCAGACTTCATCATATCGTTTAGAGTTGGTTCAATACTTCAATTATCAAATGACATAAAATAATATTGAAATCAATATTGAGTTGCAGTTCAATAAAAAAGACTATATCAATCTTAACCTTAGTATATTGTTTAGAGTTGCTCAATTACGCATCAAATGACATAAAATAATATTCAAATGGTGATTTTAGTTAGGGGTGTTCAAAAATATCCGTATCCGAAATTCCGATCCGAAATTCTGAAATTCCGAATCCGAATTATCCGAAAAATCGGAAATTTCGGATATCCGATTTTTCGGAATCAGAATTGGATAGTGTTTTTCAAATTTTTCGGATAATTCGGATATCCGATATCCGAAAATTTTGATTTTAGTTTATACATTATTTGTTATTTTAATCACATATGTCTTATAATTTGAATGTTAGTAACTAAAACATATTCATAATACCAAGTAAATACATATATTACTTCATATGCCTTTCTAATTTAAAAATATGTCTTTCTAATATAAAACCTTTCAAATTTGAACAAAATTTCAAATTTTCGGATATCCGTTTTGGTATCCGAATCCGTATCCGAAATTTCGGATATCCGAAACTTCGGATATCCGAAATTTCGGATATGGAATCGGATACCAAAAATCAACTATCCGAAATTCGGATATCCGGTTACGAACACCCCTAATTTTAGTATACTGTTTATAAATGGACTACCCCTAATTTTAGTATACTGTTTATAAATGGACTAGGCCTAACGTATTAACTATTAAGCTCGCTGAACAGGCTGATAAAAAATAGGAGGGCCCAAATGTGTCTATACCGGTTCCCTGAAAGGCATTCAATTTGTTCAATTTCTGTCACTCCCGGCTCTCAATTCAGAGTGCTCTTTTCGCCACTGCAGTGCCGTACTTGTAAGTTTCATTCATTTTTTTTATTTAGATTTTCGTTTTGGCTTGATTTTTTCAATTTGATGAATGGATTATCTGATGATGCGTGAACAATTTTTTTTCTGATCAGTGATTACTGATTAGGTATTTGAATTATTGGCTTTCTAATTTGCTATGCTTAAGTTATATTGATGAGGTACAATTTAACTTGACGAAAACACTGATATAACTCGCTAGAGTGCTATTTTGATTGGTAGATGGATTATCTTCATTCGAAACTGTCGTATATATTTTATGTTATACTCATACCCGTTGGATTGCTATTTAGCTACTGCAACTTGCTTTCACATTGATTAGTAGCTACTGCAGCAAGGTAGATGAATTGCAGTTTTTTTTTTCAGCATTTGTAATTAGTTTGTTGAACTTGTGAATTTGATAGTTAAGGGAGTTCTCTAGCAGCACCAAGAATCAAAATGTCTGAGTATCAAAAGAATGGAAATCTTTGATTGACAGCTCTGAATTTATTGCTGCTCACAGCAACCGTCGCCACCCACACTCAGCAACAACATCTGCTTGTATCATATGAAGAACCGATGGATGAGGTAAACTATGTTTGTTATATCGATGATGACACTTTCCCCCAACAGAGGTCTCTTCCTACTCTTCCTCGATCTGTTAAACAGCTTATTATTCCAAGAGTAGTTGGTAGCTCTCATGGGTTGTTTTGCTTATATGGCTATGATCCCAACAATAAAACTAAGTTGTTTGTTCTTTGGAATCCTTCGATCAGAAAATCGATTGTTGTTGCTGCGCCTAACCTACCATTTGTTGGTTTTGGGGTTTGTCCTGTGACTAATGACCCTAAAATCGTGTCAGTTACACAATCTTCTTGGGATGAATCAGAAGTTATGGTATACACCTTAAGCTCAGGGAAATGGAGAAGCCTAACCAGTAATCTGCCCACTCAACCACTTCATGATTGGTTAAGTGTAGTAGTTACTGATCGGTTTGTCTATTGGTGTGTTGAGTTACCGAATCAAAACATGATTATGTCATTTGATGTGATTAATGAGAGTTTTGAATCCATAGACCTTCCGGATAGCTTAGCTACACGTGATCTCGGGGACTTGTATATTTCCAAGGTACGGGAGTCTTGCTTTGCTTCAATACAGCGGAGACAACTGTGATGTATGGATGATGGAACATGGCGTTCAACGATTGTTTACAAAGATATTCACCATAACGACACTGTTGGATAATCTTGATGGATCAAGTCGGGCTTTTGGTTATGGGTTAGTGGGCCACTGAATACTGAAATAAGTTAGGTTTAATTGGCCTTTGGATGACCAAGTCTAGAGGTAAATAACGTGGATTAGTTGCCACTTTAATAGGAGCACATGCACCTACAAAGTTTTAGGGTTATCACGTTTTCATTCAGCTTTATATAGCCGCATATGTAGTTTCTTTTATATGTGTGTAATCAGTCTTTTTGAAAGTTATATATACAAATTTGCTGTTTTGATCGGTGTTCAAGAGTGAGTCTGGATCTGATTTCCAACAGACACCTCACAAAATAGTGGGATTTAGGAAGAGTGGCATACCTATCATGCAACTTACAGATGATCCTAATGATTATGATGAACCAAGTAAACTTGTTGTTTATGAGCCCAACTCAGAACACAACAATATTCTTGAGATTCTGACTCGCCTTATTCCTTCTATGTGAATAACTACATGGAAACCCTGCTTTTGCTAGGTCGATCTGACTGTATCAGTTATTGACATAAATAGAGGACAAAGAGAATCGCCACATTACAGTTTGACAATTGAGGATGACATCTGCTGATTTGTTAAAGTTGATAAAAAGTTGAATGTAGATGCTGTTTTAGCTCTGGGATCAATGTTTCTAACATTAATGGTGTTAAACCTCACATTTTTATCAACATTATGCACTAATATGTTGTTGAAAGTCAATTAGGTATGTTTAGTAACCTCACTCCGTTGGCTTAATTGGTAAGGCACTAAGGCTTACAATTTCTCACCTTGTTTAAAAGAGAGTATGGAATTAAACATAAATCCTACAAAATACCAGTGTTGTAGATGATGAGATTTTAGGACATATATTATTCTGCTGCTATGTATTGACAATAACTATATTTATGTTTAAGTACATGTGTATTATGGGTATTGGGTTATAGAAGGGAAATGAGTGATGGTTATATTCAAGGGGATTGGCTGTCAAGTAAGTCTACTTAGATGAGGGTAGTACTCATTTAACTATTTAAGTAACTCATTATCTATATTGAAGATTGTGTGATATGATGGTATGGTTGAGAATAAGATGGTGTTGAAACTACCTAATAATGAGTATTGATCTAATGATGAATTAACTAATGATCTTTCATAATGATGGGGTAATGATCCAAGATGAATCAACTAAAGATCTTACCAAATGATGAGGTAGTGTGCATCGATGAAATAATCTAATGATGATGAGAGTAGTGATTAAACGATGGAATAAAGGTGATTCTCTCGGGACGATAATTGTACACTTGAAGAACGATGTGTACATATTCTTGAATGCACTAATTGATGATGTATGAAAGTTGATTTTTATTTTATGTTATGTTGTTATGTTCATATATTTTTATCGTGGATATACATGGGAATATAATCTTACTCACTGAGCTTATTAGCTTATAGATGCTTTTATCATTTTATGAATCATGTTACAGGTGGTGGCACAAACCGTAAGTGAAAAGAAGTAGCTTAGCTTGTAGATAGCATATGGGACTTTGTAGACTTTGATGCTCTAGATGTAGTAACATTGTGTCATGCCATTTGTGTGGTTTTGGTTTATTGTGGTATATGTGCTAATATGTACCTGGATGTCCTTAGTTGATATGAAAGTGCATCATTTTGTGTAAATGTTGTTTCAAAAATGTCAGGAAAAAAAAAAATCAGGTGTGCTTTCTATTAAAAAATGGGGCAATGCAGAGAGAGAAGAAGCTTGTATTTTTGAACTATAAATTCTAATGTAGGAATATTACAACGAGTAAAAGTGAACGTATGATGGTCGTTGCTACATATACTACGAGCCCCTCCGTTGTATGTGCTCTGGAGGGCTTAATGACCTACATAACAGAGCATGTGGGTCAAAATCAGCAAATAGGAAGTTATGGTAAGAAATTGATTTATTAAGATAAATGTAAAGTTATCTAACTAACATTAGCTTAAATCAACATAATTATTTAACTATAAGTCTTAAGCATTGTATGTAACAAGGTCATTCTTAACGCATAAACACAGTAATGTCAAGGTATTCGCGAGAAGCATACTTCTAGTTGTCTTGGTGCTTTGTGGTGTAGACAATGAAGCACACCACCCAATCAATTTCTTTCTCTCTCTATCTTTCTCTATCTCTCTCTAACTCTTTCTATTTCTCTACAATTTAAATAATTAAAAAAACATTTTTTATTTAAATGATCAAAAAATAAGAAAGATAGTGTGATGTTGATTGGTGAGTATACCAACTTAATGTGATTATGTGTGATGATGAGATGATAGTGACATAACACCCACCATATTTGTGGTTAGTGGTTGGTACTTCAAAAGATCTTAAATAACATGACAACATTGTATTATGTTTGGTGTGTGGTTGGATTGCGACTGATACTGATGTAACATGATGTTACCGGACAAAAATTGTTGTATTTTGTCTCACCCAAAAAGACTATTACTCGCTCCCATGACATTTAGAAAATTTATTTTTTATTTTGAACTTCAAATGGGAGACTTGCAAAGCCATTTAGATGCCTAATTCTTCTTGTCTCATATTCACTCAGTCCAATTTAAAAAGTGGATTGTAGTTGTGACCACTTTTTTAAAATAATATATGAGGTAAAATATCAATATGATTATTATTTATAGTAATAACTGTCTATCATTATGATTACTAGGTTGTAATCTGTGAGAACCACGGTTACAAAATAAATTAAGCTTTTATAGAAAAACTAATAATTACTAATAAGTTATTTTAAATAAATTATTAATTATGATATATATTTTTTAGTTATGTAAAATTATAATCGTTGATTTAAATGAATATATGAAAATTTTTTTGAAGATAAAGGTGCATGAATTGTTTTTATGTAATTAGGTATAGTCAAAAAAAAAAAAAAAAAAAAAAAAAAAAAAAAAAAAAAAAACCGGAATCCATGATTTTAGTATCCATAAATTTAATGGTTATATATGTAAATTGGAGAAGAAGTATAATGACACTTGACAAAATATTAATTAGGAGAAACAAAAGATAGACAAGTGACTTATTATTAATTAGTAGGTCTAAATGAATGACACATGACAAAAAAACTTTTCTTTTATTAGAATAGAGATTTTCCATCTTAGTTGCCTAGTTGGTCATTGTATGATAAGAGACATTCTACTTGGAACTTATACCACACAATGACCTGGTTAAAATTATAAATTAAATAAAAAGGGTAATCATTTGTCATTTTATCGTAATAGTAAATGTATTAGAATTGTTACATTTATAATATATAAGTAATTATAAATTCATGTGATAATCGATATAGTGGTTCACAAGCGGTGATGAACTCCCTCATGATCATTTGTGCCTTTTTATAACAAACTAGTATTTTGCCCATCGTGCATTGCAGTGGGACAAATCCATTTTGTAAATTGAATTTTGACGATTGTATTCATAAAAGTTATGTACCATTGCATTTGTTGGTAGATAAATATACAAAACCGGTATCACTAACTAAACTATAGGTGCATGTGGTAAACACGAAAGTTTAGAAAATCGAAATGGTGAAATTGATATTTTACAAAGTTCAAAGTTAAGAGGGTTAAAATGGTATTTTACAAAGTTGAGGGCGGTGACTGTAGAAAAATCATATTATATATATTACGAGGGTAAACACAAAAGTTTAATAAATAAAAAGGTGAAAGTGACATTTTAGGAAGTTCTAACTTGATGGAGTAAAAGTGACATTTTGCAAAGTATAGAGATGGGAAATGACATTTTACAAATTAGAGGGGTGAAAATATCGATGTTCAAAATTGAGGAGGATGAAAATGACATTTTACAAAGTAAATGAGTGAAAAATATCATTATACAAAGTAGGGGTAGCAAATGTCCGTGGAAACATCCACTGAGGTTGCCTTTTAATATATAGTGTAATATATAATGGTTTTGTAAAAACACTTCTATTATGTCATGTTTAGTGGACACTTCTATATAGGTAATCTATTATGTGATGTTTAGTGGACACTTTTTATTCTATTCAAACATAACAAAACGTTTCTAAAATGACTAAGATTCCATGAAAATGTTTTGATTGATAAATTTTACGAATTAATTTATTTTTCCACGTTCAAAAAACTATAGTTTAACTACATGAGATACAAATTATAACGATCAATCAACCTTATTTTAGTGATAAAATAGCCAAAATGTCTGACTTTATATATAGTTCAGTAAACAAATTATATATTACATATCTAAATGCAACTTTAAATTAATATATTATTCAAATAAACGATTAACGGGTATGAGTTATTTTTTTACATTCGAGTTTTTTTAACATATAAGAGGGTTTTCTTTATAACTGATTATTTAATTTAGGTTTTTTTGGTTGCAATTGGTTTAAATGTTTAGGTTGTTTCACAAATGACTTTTTACAATCTTGTCGGAGAAAACCAGTCTCGTCATAGAAGATACATTCTTGCCGGAAAAGACGAAGATGGGATAGCAAACATTTTAGCAGGAGAAGTGAGGAGGGTGGGTCCCATTCGATTAATCTTGTTATTGAAATAGAAAACAAAAAGCAACAATAAAATAAAATTACAAAAAGATTATATCAGTTTTTTTCCTTTGTTAGAGACTAAATTCCTAACACATGGACCATTAGTGTGAATGTAATTGTACTCTATAGCTTATAAACTGGATATGCTCGTATATTGAACTCGACTGAACAAGCCCTTAAAAGAACGGCCCAACGTTTTTGATTTTGCGACTTCCAATATATTACATTATTACCAGGTCCAATATGCGGGAACTAGATTGTGATTTCTTCGGTCCTCTTATTCTCGGCAACCAGAATTTTGAATCTAATTTATATTTTATTAGTTTATAACCAATCAGAACCTAAGTTATAAAATTAATAAAATTTTCATAGTAAATACTTAAAATTGTTAATCAATTATTTCAAATAAATTATTTATTAAGAGATATTTTTTTAGTTATACAAAATTATAATAGTTGATTTAAATAAATACATGAAGTTATATCACTTTATAATGAATATTAATTTAATTTAATTTTTTTATTATTCATTTAATGTAATTAGAGTATGAGATTTAAAATTTAAAATTTGAAATGAAGAATCAATTATTAATTTAATGTAATTAGAGTGAGAAATTTAGAAATTAAAAATTAAAATTTAAAATTTAAAATTTAAAATTTAAAATGAAGAATTAATAGGTTGACATGTGGCATGATATGTGACATATAATATTAATGAAGATTTCTAATATTGTGACACTTATCAATAGGAGAATAAACTTATTCATTTATTAGAATAGGGATTCGGTTAAGGTGGGAGCCACTTCCTCATGCCACACTTGGGGTTTCTTTTTTATTTTTTTTATTTAATAAATAAAAAGTTTATTTAAAAAAATATATATAATATTTCATTAATTAAAAATAAAAGTACCATTACATTGCATAACTTAAAAAAAAAAACTAAAAATTTAGAAAAACAAACTAGAAATATTAAACCTACAACTTGAAAAAAATACACATTAAATGATTAAAAACTTAGAAAAAAACTACAAATTAAAAACGATTAGCATAACGTTTTTTGACGTCCTCCTTCATCTCTAAAACAACTTGAAGCTCATCCTTGGTGTTTTTTTGTTTGGTATGTTTTTTGGAGGATGACATTTTCAAAAGTTTTAGAAACAAAAAGATAGTAAAATATAAAGTGTTTGGTTAAAAATTTATAAGGTTTGAGAGGTTTAAGGGCGTATTCGGCACGGAGCATTTGAGAGCTTTTAGCGTTTGACAAAACGCTCCATTTTGAACAGAAAGCCTCGTTCGACACTACGAGCTTCTATCGTCTAGTTTAAACAAAACGCTCCAAATTCAAATGCTACTTCATGTAGCATTTAACAAAACGCTACCTGCTATCAGTTACAAGCTACCTGCTACCCATTAATTTTGTCGAACACGCCCTAAATAGGAGTGGGTAAAGGTTAAAAAGGAAAAAAATCGACCGTTCAACGGTCATGAAGTTTGGAAAATGGACAAAGGGAGCGCTCCCATGGGATACTGTAGTGCGGCCCTAGCCGCACCCTAACCGCAGTCAAGGGGCAGTATCCGTGCTTATGTGCCATCGGAGGTGCGGTAGAGGCCGTAGCCACTCCCACCGGTCTAACCGTAAGAACTCTCACTCATCTCTCCAGGTGGCAACACCACGACTCCACAGATCCAAATGTGTTGTTTTCGCCATCGTAGTGTACCTGGTAAGTTTCATATGAAGGGGTTGTCTTTTATAGTGTAATTCTCATATACTGTAAAATAAAAATAGAATGCAAACTAGCCGACAAAGTCTTAATGAAAGCTGTAGTACTCGTTGATACGAAACCAAAGATATAAAGAACGTCGAAAACGGAGCTCGTATGCGAGAGTTATGATTTTTCGAAGAAAGCGAAAAAAAATACTCGATAATAGCTCCACACCCGACAAGACAGGTGGCATCATAAGAGGCTAACATGTGTCAGCACCAAAGGAGACCCTTCGTCCCTACACTTGATGACGTGACACCATAAGATGCCGACACATGGACCGTCGAGAAACAGACACGTGACCCCACCGGATGACCGACACGTGGCACCAGCCAAAGGCATCCCTTCCTCCTTATGAAATCAACACGTGGCACCAGCCAACGGATGACACGTAGGGCATGGGTCCGTCACATATGTGTCTGTCATTTTCCGAATATCATGATTTGCTGAGAACATTGGGAGATAAACTTTCTTCAATGAAATTACAGAAGAGGTGTGATGGGAACACAAATAAATAAAAGTATATTGTATCATTTTCTATTTAGCTGTTCAATTTATTGGTTTATGATTATGAGAAAACTTAGAAAATAATATTATTCTACATGTAGTTTTTTCGAAAAGTAGTCTAATATATATAAGAAGTGCTAATGGTTTGTTAATTTCGTTGACTTTCATGCAGAGTTTGAAAGTCGTAAGTTTGATTTTTTTGGGCTACTTTGATTGTGAAATTTTGGTACTTGTCAAAATTAAACAGTCTATTATACTCCTTTAATTTATTTATTTTGTTACATTTTTCATATTAATTTTGTATTTTTACAATAAATATCTTATTATTATATATAATTAACAATTATTCAATAAGATTTTAACATGTAAATAATTTATAATTTAAATAAAATAGTTATAAAAATGTACAACAATCATATATTTCATTTTACAAAATATTTATGAAATAGTTTTAATGTATAAATAAATTTACTATGATAAGCATATTAGTTAATTAAATATAGACAAAATTGCAAAAATGGTCCCTGTAGTATGCAAATTTTTGGGGTTTTAGTCCAAACCACGATTTTTTTGGATTCGTGGTCCTTTTGAGCTAGTTTCACTGTGTTTTTGGTCTCTTGATAAACTGAAAAGACTATTATACCTTCTGATATATTTTTTTATGCTTTTTCTATTTAATTTAAATAAAAAATAAAATTATTACCTAATTTGGGGGCCACCTCTCTCTCTCTCTCTCTCTCTCTCTCTCTCTCTCTCTCTCTCTCTCTCTCTCTCTCTCCAGATTAATGAATCGTAAACCTAAACGACCATTCTCTGTTATAATCAAAATTCATACACCACAATCACTTAAAAACTCACCAATAAACCAATTTTGCCATCCTAAGAAGAATAGTTAAAGAAGAAAAGTTAAGATTCTTTTTGTTTGTAAGGATTTTTTTTTTGAAAATCGGACATGGAAGACAATTGAAAAGAGGTGAGCAACACCTCTGTTTCCTTTCCTTTCCTGGTGCAGTCAATGAAAGCTCGAAGTAACCCATCTGCCACTAAACTCTATGCAACCCAGATGAAATCAATGAAAACCCAGGTGAAATCGGACAGAGAATTTGACCAAATCAAACATGAAAATCGACCAACTAGAGCCATCTTGAAAGAAACCTTTACCCTCTTCAGTTTGCTAGAGGTGGTGGCGAGGAAGCAATCTTGACAGAAATGCTTACCTGATTTCAACGATTTTTCATAAATCAAACGGAGATGAAACAAAAGGCTTTTTTCATTTGAGGTTCAGTGAACAATGAGGCTTCACGATCGTTACCAACATATCAAGTTTTCCAAACTGAGCATCAATGAAATTCATCAAGGAAGCAAATTGAAAAACCACCTGCCTTGATTTCCTTTCTCGTTGCTTCCAATCCTAAAAAACGCCACCGTCTCAGATCATTGAATCAAGATTAAAAGAGATTAGATACAAAAAAAATGAACAGAGAAGAGGGAGGCATTAAATCGAAAAGGGGTTTAACTAGAGGGTTAGGGGATGAGGGTTTTGATCGGACCTGTGGGGGGTTCGAATGCCTTCACGATCTCCGATCGCCTTCTGAAACTCATCAAATATAACATGTACAACTTCAATCGTATTCTTTGTTCTCTATATGCGTCAAAAAAAATTTCCCTCCTATTCTGTGAATTTACGATTCCACCATTTAATGATCACAATATATTAGGAATACTGGCAACAAGTTGAGCAGCTAAACCTTTTTGTATCATAAAGCCAATTCTGATATTCCTATCCATTCGATTGCTATTATTTTGCTATTGTATTGTGCTTTCACCTTCAATAGTGGCTACTGCAGTAAGGTAGATAGATTACTAGTTTTTTTTATTTATTTTATTTTATTTATTTGTAGTTTAGTTTGTTGAACTTGTGAATTTGATAGTTAAGGGAGTTCTCTAGCAGCACTTAGAATCAAAATGTCTGAATATGAAATACCTTTCCATATTCAAGAGGATATCATGAAAAAGCTTCCGGTCAAATCATTGGTTCAGTTCAGAAGTGTCTCAAAAGCATGGAAGTCTTTGATTGACAGCTCTGAGTTTATTGCTGCTCACAGCAACCACCGCCATACTCAGCCACAACATCTACTTGTATCATATGAAGATCCGATAATGAAGGAACGCTATGTTTGTTTTGTTGATGATGACACCTTCCCCCAACAGAGGTCTGTTCTGACTCTAACTCTTCCTCTATCTGTTAAATACCTTCGACTTCTTGGTAGCTCTCACGGCTTGTTGTGCTTGTACCACTCTCATCACAACCCTGCAACTAAGATGGTTGTTCTTTGGAATCCCTTAATTAGAAAATCGATTGTTGTTGATGTGCCTAAGCAACCATATGTTTGTTTTGGGGTTTGTCCACTCACTTGTGACCCTAAGATCATTTCGATTTATCAAATTTGGGATGAAGCAAATATTGAAACTAGTTTTCGTTGCAAAGTTATGGTTTACACTTTAAGCTCCGGGAAATGGAGAAGTCTATCCAGCAATCTGCCCACTAAACCAATTCGACATTTTTGGCTTATGGTAGTTACCGATCGGTTTATCTATTGGCTTGTTGAGTTACCGAATCCTAACATGATAATGTCTTTTGATGTGAGTAATGAGAAATTCGAAGTGATAGACCTTCCGGATAGTTTAGCCACCCATCATCCCACGGACTTGCATTTATCTAAGCTAAGGGACTCTCTTGCCATGCTTCAAAACACAGAGAACATTTTAACTGTATGGATGATGGAGCATGGTGTTCAAAGATCGTTTACAAAGTTATTCATTATAGAGACACAGACACCACATCAGATAGTGGGCTTTAGGAAGAGTGGTGTACCTATAATGCAAGTGACAGATGATGATGATCCTGATGATTTTGATGCACAGTATAAACTTGCAGTTTTTGAGCCTAATTCAGGATACAACAATGTTATTGAGGTTTCTGGATCACCTGTTTGCTTCGAGGTGAGTTCCTACATGGAAACACTACTTTTGCTCGGTCGATCTGACTGTAATAGTTATTGACGTAACTCAAGATGAAGATAATGGCTGCACTGGAGTTTGGAGAAGGTATTCTTGTGATAGTTTTATGCTCCTCAATCTTCATCTATGTTCATCAATATTTATCAATGTCAACCTGAGAGGATTGAGAGGGAGAAAGAATAAGGGCAAATAGGTAAAGGGTTGGTTTGTTAATACATTAAGCCCAGTTTTTTGGCTTAGCCAATTAAGTCAAAAAATAATATTCATATTTAGCTGTCCATGTTAAGTGCTTAACCCATTAAGTAAAAAAGAAACATTCATGTATAGATGATGGAATATTGTGTTTCTAATTTTCTATGCTTATGTTTAATTGATGATGTACAATTTAACTTTGACGAGAACACCTACATAACACGTTTGATTGCTGTCTGGATTATTGGATTCTTGATTTGCATATATCTTCATTTGATATCTTCTTATATTCATTTGTGTTATATTCATATCCATTCGGTTGCTATTTGGCTACTGCAATTTGCTTTCACCTTGAAGAACAATACATACTGCAGATAAATAGATGGATTACTATTTTTTTTTTTGTTATATGTAATCAAGTTTGTTGAATTTGATAGTTAAGGAATTCTGTAGCAGCACTAAGAATCAAAATGTCTGTACCTTTCCACATTCAAGAGGAAATCATGAAAAGGCTTCCCGTGAGATCACTAATTCAGTTCAGATGTGTCTCAAAAGCATGGAAGTCTCTGATCGACAGTTTTGAGTTTATTGCTGCTCACAGCCTCCGCAGGCACACTCAGCAGCAACATCTGCTTTTATCATATGAAGATCCAGCATATGTTTGTTTTGTCGATGATGACACCTTCCCTCAACAGAGGTCTCTTCCGACTCTTCCTCCATCCATCAAACAACTCGTTCGTACAAGTGTAGTCGGTAGCTCTCACGGCTTGATTTGCTTGTACGGATACCACCCCGGCTTTCAAACTCAGATAGCTATTCTCTGGAATCCTTCAATTAGAAAATCGGTTGTTATTCCTGCTCCTGACCAACCATATGTTGGTTTTGGGGTTTGTCCTGTCATGAATGACCCTAAGATCGTGTCAATAATAAAACATTCTTGGGATGTTACAAATATCGAAACCAGTTACCGTTGCAAAATTCTCGTTTACACGTTGAGCTCCGGGAAATGGAGAAGTCTATCAACCAGTCTTCTCACTAAACCAATTCGAGATTGGTGTTTGGTAGTTACTGATCGGTTTATCTATTGACGTGCCGAGTTAATGAATCTTAATATGTTAATATCTTTTGATGTGACTAATGAGAAATTTGAGACGATAGACCTTCCGGATAGTTTAGCTTGCCATAATATCATGGACTTGCATATATCTAAGATAAGGGACTCACTTGCCATGCTTCAAAAAAGGGAGAACATCTATACTGTATGGATGATGGAGCATAGTGTTCAAAGATCATTTACAAAGCTATTCAGTATAGAGACACGGCATCATATAGTGGGGTTTAGGGAGAGTGGCATACCTATATTGCAAGTGACAGATAATCGTCCTGATGATTACGAGGTGAAGTATAAAATTGTTGTTTATGAGCCCAACTTAGAACACAACAACGTTCTTGAGACTTCTGTATCATGTTGCTGCTTCGAAATGCATTCCTACATGGAAACACTACTTTTGCTTGGTTGGCCTGGCTGGAAAAGTTATTGACATAATGGCCACATTCTTATGGTGGTCTTATGTTCCATGGTTGTCTCTTAAAAAAGTGAAGCTAAATTTGATTACTTCAATATTCTGACATCTGACTCACATGATTCTCATTCTAATCGGCTATAAACCCAACGACTCTGACTCTCATATCGCCACCACGACTCCACGCATCCACCGGTGCTCTCTTTGCCACCGCCAACCGCTGTTGTAGTGGGGTACCTTGTAAGTTTCATGCATTTTTTTTTGTTAAGTTTTACAAATTGATTTGGTTTCTTTGATGAATGGATTATGGTATGTATATGGATTATTGGATTGCTAATTTTCTTTATTCTTTGTGGTTTGCTAATTTCTCTGGCTTTCGTGCAAAGTTTGAAAGTTGTAGGTTTGGTCCTTTTGGGCTTAGTTTGGTCGTGGATTTGGTCTTTGTCAAAACTAAATAGACTATTATACCCTTTCAGTTTATTTACTTATATATATATATATATATTATGTTTTATTAAAATAAAAGAAAAGCTAATCAAAGGGGTATAAGGGTCTTTTTAATTTTAATTGGACCAATCAATAAACACACTCAAAAAGACCAAACCTGCAACCTGCAAACTCTATTGACGAAGGTCAAACAAAAGGGAAATTACAACACTTGCTAATTGTACAAAACTACAAATGACGATCTAAAGCATGAAAAATCGCCAAAATTGTCAAAGGGAAAAAGTAGAACTAGTCCTAAAAGATGACTAAATTGTGTCATTTAGAATCCATCAAAAGAAAATGACCACTTTGAGTTGTGACCTCATGTGGTCTTATCACATGGCCCTGAAAGTTGATCACTTCAAACGGTGAGTTGGTGGCAATGACCATATTACGACCACTTGAAGTGCCAGCAGGTGGTGAACATTGTCGTGTAAGATGCCATGCTCAAAATTCTCCGCTAGTCACGTCTGGAAGCATTGTATATAAAAAAAATGCAGCAGTCCATCTTGATACTAATGCAGCAACGACCAAAAAATATACCAAAGTAATCCCCTAAAAGAAAATATGAAACAACAAATGTTAACTGAGTTTGGACATGAATAATGTGCATATGTTTTTCGTATTCAATCATAATGATGCTTTTTAGCAATTTCTAAGATTCTGCTAATACAATATTTATTTATAAAATTTCTAAGTTAATATTATTTTTATACATTCAAACGACTACATTTTAACTAAATTTAGATACAATTTTAATCAACGTGAGCTCTAAAAAGCCTTACTATATTTGACTTCATATGTATCAATTTTAATTGGTATATTGTTTAGAGTTTGCTCGACTATCTATTTTATAACATAAAATTATATTTAAATCAACATCCGTATATTCTTAGCTTGGGCTGATAAATATGATGCAAGTAGAATAGGTCGAAACATTAATGCAATGTCATTTAAGTGACACTGCATTAGTAGCTAATATCAATAACCACTTTATGTTTTTTGTTATTATATATATTTTATTATCTATAATAAAAAATTATTCAACAATAGATTAACATGAGTATAAATAATTTATAATTTAAATAAGAATAATTATTAAAATGTACAGTAATCATAAGTTTCAATTAACAAAATTTTAATGTATAAATGTATTTATAAAATAATTTAATACGATATGCATATTAGTTAATTAAATATTATATCTAAAATAAATGTAAAAATTATGTTTCATAAAAGTGAGAGTGCTTTTAAGCTCGACCAAATAGGTCCAAGAGAGCCCAATCCGTTTACTTTCCCAGACCGGAAACTGAAGCCCCTAATCGCCACCACTCTCACTCTCATCTCTCCGCCGTTGCTCTTTTCGCCACCGCTAACCGCGCTGCTGAAGTGCGCTAACTTGTAAGTATCATTCTTTACTTTTTAAGTTTTCCGATTGCTTTGGTGAAAGGATTACGAGATGCTGTGTGAACAATTTTGTTTATGATAGGTAAATGGATTATTGGATATATGCTTACGTTTTATTACTGATGTATAATTTAACTTGCTGCAAACACTTATATAACTCGTCGGATTTGTGTTTTTGACTCGTAGATGGATTATTGGATTGCTGTTTTGCTCTTGTAGTTTGCTTTCTCCTTAAATACTCTGGTTACTACATTTTGGCTACTGCAGTTAGGTTCGATGGATTTAATGGTTTCTTATTTTTATTTGTAGTTTACTTGTTGAATTTGTGAATTTGATAATCAAGGGAGATCTCCACGGCTTGCCAGCATCTGTGATTTAAAAATGTCAGACGAAATACCTTTCCATGTTCAAGAGGAAATCATGAAAAGGCTTCCAGTGAAATCACTGGTTCAGTTCAGATGCGTCTCAAAAGCATGGAAGTCTTTGATCGACAGCTCTGAGTTTATTGCTGCTCACAGCCTCTTCCGCCACAATCAGCAGCAACATTTGCTCATTTCATATCAAGATCCAATAGATAAGGAAAACTATGTTTGTTACATCGATGATGACACTTTCCCTCAACATAGGCCTCTTCCAACTCTTCCTCTGTCTGTTCAAGAACTTTAAGCTTCCGGAGTAGTTGGCAGCTCTTGTGGCCTGTTGTGCTTGTATGGCTCTGATCCCAGCTATACAACTAAGATGGTTGTTCTCTGGAATCCTTCGATTAGAATATCGATTGTTGTTATTGTGCTTAACAACGATATTGTTGGTTTTGGGGTTTGTCCGGTTACTAATGACCCTAAGATCGTATCAATTACACAATCTTCGGATGACCCAAATATCGGAACAGGTTACCGTTGTAAAGTTATGGTTTACACTTTGAGCACTGGGAAATGGAGAAGTCTATCCAACAATCTGCCCACTGAATCAATTCAAGATCCACGGTCTCTAGTAGTTACTGATATGTTTATCTATTGGCATGTCGGATTGACTCGTAATATGATTATGTCATTTGATGTCACTAATGAGAAATTTGAAGTGATAGAGCTTCCGGATAGTTTAGCTATCCGTCATCCCATGCGCATGTATTGTTCTAAGCTATGTGAGTCTCTTGCCATGCTTCATTATAGGGAAGACACCTGTACTGTATGGATGATGGAGCATGGTGCTCAAAGAGCGTTTACAAAGCTATTTACCATAAAGACACCAGATGACTTTATAGTGGGCTTAAGGAAGAGTGGTGTACCTATTTTGCAAGTGACAGATGATGATCCTGATGATATTAATGCACGTTATAAACTTGCTGTTTATGAGCCCAACTCAGAACACAACAATGTTTTTGAGATCTGTGGAACGACCTCGTGGTTCAATTTGAATTCCTATGTGGAAACACTACTTTTGCTTGGTCGATCCGACTGTAATAGTTATTGACATAAATCGAGGACAACGAGCAATTTGGAATTTTGTAGTAGGCATTCTTACTGGTGATGGTTTAGCTTGAATCCAAGATGTACTTTGCTTGAGGTGGTATGTTTACAATTTCTTACCTCGTTTAAAATGATTATGGTAGAGGAACTTTTGACCTTTTTTTCTTTTTCTAAGTAATGAAGTTAGGAGGTTGAAGCCTCCAACCCGGCTACTTTATTATGATACAATTTTTCTTAGTCCCAATTTTGATTGAGGTGGTATGTTTACAATTTCTTACCGCGTTTAAAACGATTATGGTAGAGGAGCCTTTGACCTTTTTATTTCCAAGTAATGAAGCTAAGAGGTTGAAGCCTCCAACCCGACTGCCTAGTCATGTAGTTTGCTATGATAAAATGTTTCATTAGTCCCAATTCTGTAAAAAAATGTATTTATTGTTCCTTTTTTTTTTTTTTTTTTTTTTTAATGGTTATGCAAAAGTGGGGGACAAATATCAAATTATGTTGCAATTAAGTGAAAACATGCATGAAACTATGGGTAATGAAATAATGGCGTTACAAATTTGTATCATAGTTATATTCCCTCTTACTGAGGATAATATGTTTTATGTTGGATAAGTAGCTTTCCCGGCCACCTACTACGACTTCCCCAGTATGCGAGGATACCAGGGAGGGGGCACTTCTTAGGGAGTGCTTACCATGTCATCCTCCACGTAAAGTAAAAAATTAGGGTGCAATATGTTACTTTTGCTACTCATGAATTTAATTCTTACATTTAATCATTTTAAACCAAACCTTTAAATATATGTTATAATAATAATAAGTTATTTTATATTTTTGAAAAATTCAGTGTAATAAAATATAAGTGTGTTGCCAGGCCCGGTCCTAGACATTTTGGGGCCCGGGGCAAAAACAAGATTGGGGCCCTTATAAAACTTTTTTTCTTGTAAAGGAGGGCGGAACCTCCGGAAATTTTTATTAATTAAAAAAATAATACAATTGAAGGCTGGGGACTCCCCACCTATGGAAAAAAAGGGCTTCAAGACAGGCCCCGAAAGCCAAACAACCTAGCAGTTAACAAACAATCACACAGATTCACAAAAAACAAATTAAAAAAACAAAGGAAAAGACGACTACCTGATGGCTAATGTGGTAGCTCAGCAGGTTGCTTTCTGTTGCTTGTATATAAGATTATATCCTTAATCCTTTGAGCCCAAAACAATGAGAAATCTGAAGATTAAAAATACAAAATAATCTTTAAATATCAGCAAATTCGAATTTAGCAACATCACAGAAAATAGATTAACTTTTTTTTGAAAAGAAATTACCTGTAGGGTGTAACCTGCTTAGCTGTTAATAATCTTTGAGCAATCTCAAATCTGATTATCTGAACATAAAAAACAGTTAAACAGAGAAATCAAAAATTTTATTTCATATCTTATTATCTCAAATCTCAAATCTGATTAATCATTCATAACAAAATCAACATTATATAAGTTTATTTAATCAAAATCAATAAATCATATTCGATTGCATACAACATACTTTTAACAAAATAGATAAATAGTTCACAGATTAAAAAATTAGACTTACATGTATTAAAAAAACGGAGTTCTCCTCTTGTCGAATGTCGAGTTCCGATTCTAAAACCGTCAAAGCGTTGTACGCATTGTACTATACTTCCAAGACTCCAAGTTCATACGAAATCCGATTATCCGAACCATTCACCAAACGATTCAGAAAGAGAACCACCAAACCAGCTATTTCAGAAAATTGAAATCGGAAAATAGAAGAGAAATAGAGAATGAGTATTGTGCAATCCGTAATCGACTAATCGGCGATGGCGAATCAGAAAATCAAAATTCAAAGAAGAGAAGTTGAGGAGGAGATTGGAGAAGGGTAACTGATTAACTTCAAGTCTTGAACTAGAAATAGAAGAAGGAGACTCGAGAACTAACCGTTAGAGATGGTGTGTCGTTTGGATTTTCCATGGAAACGAAGCTGAAGAGAAGCCGAACTGCCGAAGATTCAATTGCGATTTGAGTCTTGGAAACTGTAACCGAGAAACTCAAACACGGTAGGTCACACTCCCGCTTCCGCTTCTTCAAATTAGGCGCAAATGTTAATATTGGGCCAAACAATATGGGCTGTCATTAATATAGGCTTAAAAAAATATGGGCTGCGACTAATATAACCCAATAACAAGTATAAATATGGGGCCCTTTGGCGTTTGGGGGTCCGGGGCGGTCGCCCAGCTTGCCCAGGCCCATGGGCCGGCCCTGTGTGTTGCTATAATGCCAAGACCGGTCCTGGGGATTTAAATATCCTCAACTGCTCTGGACGAACCAGAAAAAAGGGTCCTTATCGTTATTATAAGTTTTTTTATTTCTAAATAAGAGAAATTAAATATCCTCCTATTTTTTGTTCCTATAAATCCTTCTACCCAATTAAATAGTGACATGTGTAACATTTAATGCCCATTTAATGATATTTTAATATACTAATATCACAAATATCATCATTTAATTGGGTAGAGGATTTGTAGGAACAAAAGTAGGAGGATATTTAATTTCTCTTTAAATAAATATATAGCATAATACTAAAAAATTTCTCTAGGTGTAATGTTGACTATAGTAAGGTATAATATCAATGTCTTTTCTGTCTTAGTTTTCCATGGTATTGGATGGGAGCACCTCAAGTGGAGTATGTTCACCCCCTTGGCATTAGGTGCATTCGTTACGCGATAAGAGCATAGAGGATGAGATGTGTATTATTTGGTCAGATGATGCATATTACCATTTTGTTACACTACGTCTTGTCCCGGTTAGACTTGTAAATTGAATAAAAGGTTTGAGCTTAAATATGAAAGAAATACTTAGTTTGACTAGTACTTGTCGATGTAAGAAGTTTGTGACCCAAAACAAATACGGGGCTTTCAACACATTAAAAGTGTTTGGCATGCTTTTTCTTTACCTTTTTTGTTCCAAGTTATGTACATTTAACTTGTTATAGTTATAATAAAACATAAGTCTTCGTCAACATCGTTACGTCTGTAAAATGTGCACTTTTTATGTTCGTGTTTAATTTATTATATTAAATAATGTTATTTTCCAAACAAAACATAAGATATTTCAATATAAGTAAAAGTCAGTAAATGCAAGGACTAAGATATATGCATAAAACAATAAGGGTGTCGAGCTTTTAGTTTTTGTTACAAAAACCTCGAATTAAAAAAAAAGTTGTTTGCGAATACATATTTAAAGTTTTCATTTTATACAAAAAAAAAAAATTAAATCCATAAGCTACATCAAGTATTTGAAGACTCCTATCATTGAAAAACTTAAAAAATAATTTTTGAAAAAAAAAACGAACAATGCAGAAATACTGTTGTTATTATTATTATTATTATTATTATTATTTGCATTTTCACAGTCTAGGCCCAATAATGCTAAACGACGTCGTTTAGATTGTTCACAGTATTTCTAATGAAAAGTACTTTAGATTGTTCACAGTATTTCACAGTATCAACGATTATTCTGCAAAAATAATGACTAAACATGAAAAAAATTATTTTTGAAAAGTACTTTAGAAGTTTGGCTAGATTAGCATTTTTCAGTATTTCTAATCTGTATTTTATAATTTTATGAATGATATTCAATTGAAACTAGAAGCGTTCCCCCGGCGGTGCGGGGGTTGGAAGGTGTTGATTTTGTGTGCAACTAAAGTACATTCCCTTAATTGGTATCCATAGTAAACTATGTTGCTATTCTCTAATTCGCCCATTTACAAACATGGTAAAAAAATTGAATGTACATTGGTATTTTGATGATCCAAATTATAAAAAAAAAAACAAACATTAAAATGAAAGTACATTGCCATATTTTGGTTAAGATATGCCAAATTCCACCACCTGATGAAATTGGTGAAACGGTTGTGGTGTAAGCATATGTTCCACTTCTTTTTTTAGCTGATATGTGTTATCCCATCCAGGTGGAAGTCCTTTATCTTCAGAATCTTTTTGCTCCATGTTTAAATCTGCGGTTTGACACATTTATTCTTCCAAATCACAAAACATTTGAAACTTACCATGATAGATAATGAGGTCATAACTTACTACAAAATTGGTGGAAAAATAAAGGATAAAAAGGGGTGTTTGAACTTTAAATATGAAAATTACATATAATCAATTTTCCTCTAGTGTTAGTAGTTTATTTTTTGTTGATTGAAAGATTGACATAGGAACAATTCCAGTTCAAGACACATCAATATCAATAGCAGACAACAGACATAGAAAAATAGCAACTTACTTTGTGATAAACATTTTCAGGAAGATTTGGTTTTATATGTGAAATTACTATAAACATCTTGAATGCTATAATTAACAGATATTTCATACCATACTGAACCCACATTTCTTTATAAATCGCCTCAATCTTTGCTACTAATTAAGTTGTTTTTTTAAAATAACCTTGTAACTGAGATAACATGATGTGAGAACTTACATATAACATGTTACATGTAGAATTGCTCGTCTGGCCAATAGTTGTCAACCATTCATTGCCTTATGAATGAAAAAATAAGGAAAAACACATTAGAAATTCGTGAGTCAGAGTCGCTAATGATGAAAAAATACGGTTTATTTATTATAATTTTTTTTTCATACCCTTAGGCACTGTTGTCTTCTATAACAGAAAAAAGTGTTTTGTTAAGGGCATAGTTAATAATTGTATGATACTAAAATGCTCCAAGATACTTGTAAACACTTGCTTGCTTAATTATTGCAAAATAATTGTAGAATAATGAATTTTTTCTTGAATTGTAAGGGTAAAATAGTCATTTAATCTAATTCATATGATATATTAAATGTGGATAAGGAACACACAATATGGATTAAGATCAATTTGATGATCGATATACATACTTTCCAGCTAAAATATGGTCTGTTACAAAAGTAGAATGTTATAGATAACAAAATAAAAGGAAAGTATGTTGCTTGTGGCTAGTTCTTACATTTCTGAATCTTAAAGATGAACCTATAATTTCTTCTAGGGTTCGAATTATAAAACCGAACCATATCTAATATTTTTGAATCACACAATTTTTGTGAAGGGATTTTCTGAACTATGGATTTAGCATTCGACTTCATGAGTTGTTTATACTACATTCTTGTTTCCACTATGGCCTTTTTTCATGACACCAAAAAATATTCAAATATATATTAGAAGATAAGAATGTAAAATATAGAAGAAACATCAGAATAAAGGTGATATGTTGATTTATGATCTGATATGAACAGTGATATGTACTTGATAGAAAATTTACCTTTTTTGGTGTTGGTTTGTGTGAGTGGCATGAAAAAAAATATTATTGGCATTTGGTCTTATCTGTTGATATAAAAACTTAAACCCTAACACAATTTCAAATATTGTTGTCAAAGCGTGATGAATGTATGTTGTGTTGTTAAGAATAAAGATGGGTGAAGTTAAATAGGTAATTATTCATTCTTCTATATAAAAGACAAAAAAAACTCAATCTATATATTTACAAAACAAAAGAAAAACCGATATATGTATTTATAGTATAAGGAAAACAAAAAAACATAATGTAAATTTTAGTTAGATTTCAATTATTTCGTAGTATAGCGACACAGTTCCCTTTTATATCATTATAACATTATTCATTCATCTTTTTTTTTCTTATTTAGGCATCATAGTTTCAGAATGCCCATAAAATTCAAATTGATGAGGTAAAAAAAATACAAAATACCCAGCTGTAACTTTCTAAAAGTTACCATTTTACCCTTGGACCCAAAGGCTTAAAAAAGAACATTCCAGGAAAAAACAATTGCTTATATATCATTCAAGCTACCTAACTGAATATGATGATATAGATTTACCGACCAAAATCAAACAAATCTAAGCGAAGTTCATAACGATAATTTGTAAATCAGATGGTTAGTATGATATTAACATAAATCTAAAAATAGAAAAATTTGAAGAAATTGAAGACATACTCACCAGACCTGAGATTGGCTCTATGAACCAATGCCACATGACAAGTTCCGTAAGCAACTGGAAGTGCATCGACATCCACCAAATTACACCCATCAAGAACTCCAAACATTCAATTTTGGAAAAACTTTAAAAATTTGTATGCAGAAAATTGGAATGATTGCTCACAAAACCTTCTAAATCAGATGGAAACTAACATAAGTTGTGGGTGTGATTTCTCTTCCATCGCCAATGAAACCCACGACCACATGCCTAGTAACACAAAAACCCGAATCTTGAAACAATTCTGGAAAAAAATGGTATATTCATATAGAAATTGAACATCAACATGAATGTAATTTCTCATAAGTTCAACAATTGAATAAGTAAAACTCACCAACATATGAGAGTGTACATGTGTTTGAGACTCTGAAACAAATCCATGGATTACTAACTTCTTTAATCACCGACATCTTCTAAGCAAACACGCAGCCCAATCCACAAAATGTTTATCAAGAATCATCCATTCAAGATCTAAAAACTCACATTCTCAAATTCAAATTCACCCTGCAAACTATAATGAAGAACACCGTCATTAAAATCATCTCTAAAACCATAAATCAATGCAAGATACTTTAAACCAGGAAAACACACATCAATCGACTCCAAATCAACAAAGTCAACTTTATCACCAAACACCACGTTAGGGTTTTTAATTTTGAACATTTTCAAGTTATTTTGGTAGAATTTTGACCGAATTACTGTCAAATTGCTGACGTAAACTACTTCAAGGTCATTCACAGGGTCACAAAATGTGAAGATAGAGGATACTTACATAGCGCATTTCTATGGTGTACATTAGCTATCTGATGACGACACAAGTTGAAAACTCGTCGACGTCGTCCATTAAAATAGAGAGTCCATGTAATCTAGGCCAGTGGTCGGAGTTGAAGGAGAGAAGAGATGGTCCGAAAAGCAGCAAAAATGGTGGTGACTTAACCTCTATACTGATAAAAAGCAGAGCATACCTGCTTCAAATTAGTTCGTGTTTGCAGCAACAACACAGTCGGAAATCTTCTATTCAAGTTATCGACGACTATCGTAAGCGATGCTCCACCAAATAGTATCGTTTCCAAAGTCGGTTCGATTTACCAAATAGTCATTATCGCCCTTTACCAAACCGACCACCACCAGTGGCGCCGATGCTAGATGAGTAACACTAAACTCCTTAATCGATTTGAATAGAACGGCGGAGGCGCAACCGATTTCCAATGATCACAGCCCAAAGACGACAATGAAATATGGAAGAAGTGGAGAAGACAGAGATGAATGACGAAATCAACCCGTGGGTCTGTGATTCTTTATGGTCAACAATGAAAAAGCGGTGGAAGAAACACATACCACGTGTCCAGGGAAAAGTTTGATGAGTAAGCAAAGTAAACCCAAAACAGCCACGTTGTGAAAAACTGTGAAATGTTATAATAAAGAGGAGAAAAAGAAAAATCAATGGTTTTGGACTAGAACTATAGCAAAGAAATGTGATCAGAATATGAATTTGAAAATTGGTGTTGCCAACTCTAAAATGGACAGACTATACTGCTCCTAAAGCAACATGAAATTTATATATATATAAAGAATGGACCCGATATACTAAAGATCGAATGCTGGATTGCTCTTTAACAGGCCCATAAAAAGAAGGCCCAATTATTTGTTGATATAGATCTAATTAGGAGGCGGGAACGAGCAGTTGGAATACTCAAACCGAATCGCAATTATCGTTTTACAAGGGCAAGCAAAAATTGATTTCTCCAGCCTTCTGTCACTCTAGGCACTCGATTCGCCCGATTTTGACTCTAATCTGTATTCTAGTTCTGCTAATCGCAATCTCTCCCACTCTCGGTTTCCAAACCACGACTCCAGGCGTCCACCGTTGCTTTTTCGCCACCCCTAAACGCTGTATTGCTTTATCTTGTATGTTGATGCATTGCTTTTTTAAGTTTTTCGATTTACTTTGATTTCTTTCGGTTTGATGAACTTTTTTGTTTCAGAGTAGTGATTACGCCTCATCTTTTCTCTCCCAGCGTTAGAAACCCTAGAAATTCATAATACCACCCAAAATCAACGATGTCAGACCAAATTCCTTTCCATGTTCAAGAGGAAATCATGAAAAGGCTTCCCGTGAAATCACTGGTTCAGTCCAGATGCGTCTCAAAAGCATGGAAGTCTTTGATCGACAGCTCTGAGTTCATCGCTGCTCACAGCCGCTGCCGCCACATGCAACCACATCATCTGCTTGTATCGTATGAAAATCCAGCAGTAGATGAAGACTATGTCCTCTTCTCCCGATGTTATATCGATGACGACACTTTCCCCCAACAGATGTCTGTTCCTACTCTCCCTCTATCGGTTAAACAACTTATCCTTCCTATAGTAGTTGGCAGCTCTCAGGGCTTGTTGTGCTTGTTTGGGTCTCATCCCAACTTTACTACTCAGATGGCTGTTCTTTGGAATCCTTCAATTAGAAAATCGATTGCTGTTCTCGTGCCTGGCGAACCATCTGTTGATTTTGGGGTTTGTCCTTTCTCTGGTGACCCAATCAGACCATCTGTTGCTTTTGGGGTTTGTCCTGTCACTAGTGACCCCAAGATGGTGGCAATTACACATTCTTATGGAGTTATGGTTTACACTTTGAGCTCGGGGAAATGGAGAAGTGTATCCACCAATCTGCCCCTTAATCGAACTCGATATTTACTGATCGGTTTATCTATTGGGAAGTTCAGTTACAGGATGTTAAAATGATTATGTCATTTGATTTGACTAGTGAGAGTTTTGACATGATAGATCTTCAGGATAGTTTGGCTCGCCTTCATCCTTGTGCTGTATGCATTTCTAAGGTAAGGGAGTCTCTTGCCCTGATTCAATATGGTGAAAACGACAACTTCACTACTGTATGGATAATGGAGCCTCATGGGTCTCAAAGATCGTTTACAAAGCTGTTCACCATAAAAACTCCACACGACTGTATAGTGGGATTTAGCAAAAATGGCATACCTATAATGCAAGTGACGGATGAAGCTGATTATTATGGACTGGCTAAACTTGTGGTTTATGAGCCCAACTCAGAACACAGCAATGTTCTTGAGATTTGTGATATGCCTTATCACTTCAGTATTCATTCCTACATGGAAACACTACTTTGCTCTGTTGATCTGATTATTGCAACGGGGATGATGTTACTTGATGTATGTATACAAATTAGCACCTTGTTTAAAATGTACTTTGGTAGACTAACCAGGGAGTTGAACAGTAATATTTTACATGTAGTTTTTTTTTTTTTTTTGAAGATTATCTAATGTAATACTCAAAACTATACAACTCTCTTTTGTGCAATTTCTTTCTGGCAAAAAGGATACAAGAGTGATTATTTAATCTATTTACTAATTGCATATTAAAAAATGAGTATGAAAAATGAGAAAGAAGTAATAAATAATTATTTTAAAAACATGTGAGTATAAGAAATGAAAAGAAATTAATTAATGTTAATAAACTAGTTCGCAACTAAATATTAAACATTTTTTATCAGGCATGGTTTCCATTAAATATAAACATCTTTTTTTAAAAAACTAAAGAACATGACCAAGAAGAGTTTCAAAATTGTTCTTCGAATTTTGATACTATTATTGGAGTTTCAAATTTTTATAACTTAAATTAAGTACTCTAGCCCCTTTGTAACTAATGTAGTATGTTAACTAATATAAAGTGCAATCTACATAAAATAAAAATGAAAATTGTAATTCAAAACCATTAAACGGGTATTCAAAATGTTCCTTGAGTTCTGAAATTGTTCTTTGAGTTTGAAACTTGCATGCTAATGACGTATCGCTTTCCCCATCCGACCCGGAGTCAAGACGACCAAGGGTTGTTTGATAATGAACTAACCGGGTCCGGTTAGTAAATTTTAGTAAATTTTGGCCGACTCGGTCCGGTCAGGCCGTTTGGTAGAGCCCTAAATTGGCTTACTCGGTCAGCAATAGCCGACCAATTTCCTGACCCGGTAAGTGAAAAAAGCGTAGCTGACTGGTAAAGAAACCCATTTGCCCTCATTTGCCCTTCTTTCTTCCTTTCTGGTTGATCGAACTCTCCTCCCACTGCTCTCCTCAAACCTGCCACTCTCGTTATCAGCTCTCTCAACTTCTCCTCAAATCGGTAATTGAAGGGTCGATCAGAAAGGTAGATTTCAATCGATTTCATCTCACTCAAGCCCTGCGATTTGAAGAACAAGAACACGATTCTTTGTTGCACTGCGTCTAGGTTCGTATCATCTATTTTCTCTCTCTGTCTAGATTTCTTTTGCAATCGGTATTTGGTGTTCACTTCATTAGTATTGGAATCGATGACCTTGCGTGCGTGTCCGGTACCCAGCAAGAAACTCAAAATCGCACTTCTTCTCTCTCTTGGTCTCAGAAATTAACACACCAGTCCTCCAATCAATCACCAAAAAATTCGATATTCACCCTCTTTCCCTTCAATTGATAAGTTGGTCGGAGATGGTAATGTTGCGTCTGGTGGTGGGTGATAAGGAGATATGTGGTGAATTTTGGTGGGTTAAGGTGTGCAATGGTGACGAATGTGAGTCAAGATGGTGGTGGTTTGGTTGTTATTTATGGTTGTAATATGGTGATAGTTGTAAGCTTGTAAACTTATACTCTGATCTCTTTTTACCACAATTCTCAATAGTTGTATTATTAGAAAATTATGCTCAATGATTGTGTTGTTTAAACTATATGTGAACTATGGTCAATTCAATGATATTGTCATTTGAATGAGTTCCTTTTGAACAAAAAAAAAATACATTTTATGGTTAATCGTACCATCAATATTCCTGTTTCTTGAATTACTTTATTTGTTTGTTGTATCACAAGCTCCCATCAAAACTTATCTCAATGGTGAATTCATGGTTGGATCAAAGTTCATTGCCTTTTCTAAAATCAAGAATAAAATTCATTCTTATTTTTTACGCTATATAAAGTTTATCATTAAGGGGTAATATGGTCATTTTTCATTATTCATCACTTAGTGTTGCACCGGTACCAACGATCGTCACCGCTCAGGTTAGGGTTATCAAAATCCATCGCCTTCTACTATATATGTAGTTTTTTTTCCGTTTTTTTTGGGCTTTCTTTTCTGAAAGCATAATAACCAAAACCTGGAGTAATTGACAGATCAAGTGAGGGAATGACGTTGCAATTCGACGGTGCCTGTAACTTTGCTGTTGAACGAATTAGGGCAGTTGCTTCTGATGGCTTTGTGAAGGTGCAAACCAAGGAAGATAAGTTTGTGAAGCTGGTTGGTTCTGATTTGAACCTGACAAAGCTTGGGATTGGAGCAATACTAGTAATTGGAACAATTTCAAATGGGATGGTAAGTTTGATTAAATATTGAAAATTTTGTCCACCAAGTGTTTGTGAAAAGTCCTCAGTGAACTTTTTAAAGCTTATGTACTCTATTATCTATTGGTTTCTGACTGAAAATGATATCGGGACCTTCTTTCTCTTCCGGATGATCACAGATAGGAAGTTGAAAGCTTGTAAGAACGCATTTGATGCAAGTATAGATAATTGTAACACCCTGTTCTGAATCGTTCCTAATTCGGGGCCATGACTCGAAGATCGGTTATCATAGGCTTAGGGCCTTTGGAAAAGAGAGAATTAGACACCCCCATTGAGTGTGGAAAATGTAGTTTGGACGACCCGGGAGTTCGGTTTGTGTTTTGGAGCCCAAGGGTATATCGGTAAAGTATCAGTTCGGGCCTTTATGAATTTTGGGTTGAAGTTCGAAAAGTTTTAAGGCAAAGGAGAGTTGATAGAAGTTTAGAGCTTCTCGTTACCTTTTCGCGAATATAAGGATCGTCAAAATCAGACTTAGAACGAAAAGTTATGGCTTTCGGAAGATTGGTAGGTTTAAGGCAAAGCCTAGTACACTGGATGTACATAAGAGTACGTTGCGCGTACTCGACAGACTGATCGCGGGTGTTCGATGGAGTACGCTGGGCGTACCAGGAGTACGCCCTCCAGTCTGATGCAAACCCTAATTTAGGGTCTTGGACCCTATTTAAAGGCCTTATCTTGTGTTCAAACCCTATTATCTTCAGCCTCCATCAACCTTAACCCTAATATCGAAACCTTAAGTGCTTTTTATGAGTTTTGAGCTTGAAAGTGAGTTTTGGTGGTGTTTTTGGTGAAATAGAAGAAGAAGAACACTTGGAGGTTTCTTGGGATTGGCTTGAGCTTGTAGATCCAGAGTTATCTTCACCTTAGCAAGTCATTTGAGGTAAAAAGCTCTCATCTTGATGATTCTTTATGCTAGATCCAACTTAGGGTGTTATTTATGCATTTTTGGGTCTTTCGAGCTAAAGTTGGGTTTATGGTCTACCCCATAAGCCATGGGGGTTAGATCTTAGCACAAATGAGGTCCATTGTCCATAAAAATGCAACCTTTATGAGTTATTTTGGTCCATGCAAGAGTTAGGTGCTGTTTGTTTTTTGTAAAAAAACCTCTTCAGACCTCTTATTCCTGTGCGGCGCAGCACACGCGCAACACTTTTAATCTCGCAATTGTTTGTTTTTTAGAAGTCTTCAGAGTAAAAAACCTCTACGCGTGTTCTGTTTGGCGCAACACTTGTATTGCCTCTTCCAACCTTTTCTTCTTCTTTTTTCTTGTTGAAATATTGATTATATGTTGCTGAAATCTTATTTTCCGTTTTTTTTGTTTATTCTTGTTGAATTCTTCTTTATTTTTTTCGATTTTTTATATTGAATAATGATAATTTCTTGATGAAATATCATTATTTTTTGCTAAAATATCTTCATTTTTTTGTTGAAATATCATTACTTTTTTGCTGAAATATCATAAATTCTTGCTGAAATGTCATACATTATTAATTTTTCGGTATTAAAAAACTATTTTGGTTTATAAAATCAGTTTATTTTAATTTTTTAATATCTGCAGCAACATGCAGATGTTAAAAAAACAAACACGCTTCTTGTTACAGTCTGCAGCCATTTGGTCCACCTCTTCTATTGCAGAGGGTTGCAGAGGTGTTCTGCAGACTTAATGAATTTTGCTTCAAAAAAACAAACAGCACCTTAGGTTCTTTGTTATGGTTCTTTTTGAGTTTTGGGCCTTATTAAGTCATGCATCGGTGTAAAGTTGCCAACTTTACGTATTAAGTCACTTCCTAGAATCAGATGTGAGAGTTTGGCATGTTGGCTTAACCGAATAAGTGCTTAATGGGTTGGATTGGTTATCTGGGGAGTACGCGGGGTGTACCCAGCTAGTACGTTGCACGTACTGGCCCCGAAAGGAGTAGGCTAAGCGTACGAGTTGAGTACGCCCCACGTACTCAGCAGATTGACTTTCGGTTTGACTTTCAGGGGTTTGGGCCATATTTTGGGATTTTAGGATTTGGGCTTTGTTGGGCCATTAGACTTCTGACTTTGGGTCATGGTTAGAATATGAGCCTTCTTGGGTTTAGGTCTAGAATATTTTTTATTGGGCCCAATTAGGAAGTTGGGCCATATTGGGCCTTGGGATGCCATTTAGGAAATTGGGCTTTTTGAGCAAATGGGTTGGGCCTTGGTTATGGACCAAGTAAGAAAAGGGTAAAATGGTCTTTTACCCTGGATGATGGGCAAGTAATTTAGATTCTTGATTATGGGTCGTGATCCAATTATTAATCGGATATTATTGATGATGTTAGCGAGGGTGATTTTCCGGATCAGCAGCCGAGATTTTTATCTGAGAGATTATGCAGCTTGATGTGAGTTTCCTCACTGTGTTTAGCGGGTCGAAGGCACCAATGCTGGCCCATGGTTTGTTATGTTTAGGATGCTAGTTGTCTGCGTGACTCTTACATGTGTTATGTGTTTATATGTTTACCTGGCGGGGTCTGATGATTATATTGTATGCTATTTATCTTTGTGATTTTTATGTATGTGTTTATATGTTGTATGTATACCGGGCGGGGCCCGATGCCATGCGGTGATGATGACTGACAGATCTGTTCCGAGCGGGGCTCGATGCCGGGCGGGGCCCATTATATGTTTGATATGTATGGTATGTGGTATTTTAGGGAACTCACTAAGCTTTGTACTTACAGTTTTCAGTATATGTTTCAGGTACTTCTGGTTAGAAGGGGAAGAGCCCGGGATGATTGCAGTGCACACACCATGTTTTTCCGCATTTTTATATTACTCTGATGTACTCGGATGCTTGATACGCTCTGATTCAATATGGTTCCTTTGATGTTGTTTTGGATTAATAGTTTTATTAATCTGAAAATCGAAATTTTTAGTCTTAATTTTTGGGACGTTACAAGTTGGTATCAGAGCCTTAGTTTGAGGGATTCAGGCATACTCTCGGGTGTGTCTGAACTCAAGTTGGGGGTTTGGTAGATTTTCTAAAAAAGGAAATGTTTTATAAAAAGAGTTTTCTAATAAAAGAAAAAAGGTGTGGTGCATGTGTAACGTCCCAAAAATATGACACAAAAATTTCATTTTTAATTTAATAAAAAAAGTATTCCAAAGACATCATCAATACAATCCAAATAAAATAAGTGTATCAAACATCATCTCAAATCAAAGTAATCACAAAAGTACCTGAAACATAAACTGAAAACCGTAAGCACAAAGCTTAGTGAGTTCCCCAAACTACCCAATATCATACATAATAAACCACATACTGGGCCCTCGCCCTCCATCGGGCCCCGCCCGATTTCGAGTCCCACTCGGCTTTAGGCCCCGCTCGGTATACAGATCTGTTATTCTTAGGCTCCGCCTGGCATCGGGGCCCGCCCATTATACACACAGACATATATCACATAACCATACTAACACATGCAATGATCATAAACAATAACATACGATACAGTCATCGGGCCTCGCCCGACATCGAGCCCCACCCAGTATACATAGCAGCACATATCACATGCAAGGGTCACGCAGAATCCTAGCATCCTAATAAAAATAACAAGGGCCGAAATTGGTGCCTTAGACCCGCTAAACCCGTTGAGGAAACTCACCTCGACTGCTGAATCACACGACTGAATCTCTGGCTGCTATCCGACGAATCCCAAGCTATCAAAACCAAATAGCATCCAATTAACAATTGGATTCCAATCTATGACCATCAAACCATACTTAGGGTAGAAAGACCATTTTACCCCTTACCTAGTTTGGACCAAGACTTAGGCCCAAACCTATAATCCAAAAGGCCCAAAATCCAACTAACTGTTCGAGGCCCATACTTGGCCTAATTTTCCAAATTGGGCCCAAACCTTTACATGGGCCTTACCCTAAAGCCCACCCATTCTCCTAGTCCAAAACACTTGCACTCAGATTTCCCAACAAGAACCCAAGCACTTAGGCCCAAAAAGAAGGCCCAACCACGAAGCCCAAAACACAAAACCCAACAGATTGAGTGCGCGGGGCGTACTCAGCTGTACGCTAAGTGTACATGCTAAATGGCTTGTACGCTGCGTGTACAGACTTGTACACCCAACGTACTCACCCATTAAACCAAAATCCACATTAAGCACTTAATGCTTAAGACCAGAAGTCTAAACCACATATCTAACACCTAATAAGCGTCTAGAACCATAAAGTCACTGACTTGGTGACTTTGCATGCCCCAAAAGGACCCAACTTCAAGATATAACACTTTACTTTCACTAAATGGACATAATCTCATGCATGGGTGATTCTAAACCCTAAAGGTGCCAACTTTATGGACTTTGAACCTCAGAAACACCAAGAGTGGCAACTCATAGCTCGTGGAGTGATGTCAAACCACTAGATCTCATTCATGGGGCCAAAAGGGTTCAAAACTCATATAAACTAGATCTAAGCTTCTAATTAACAAGATTAAAGCTTTTTACCTCAAACAAGCTGGAAATGGAGTAGAGAATCAGGATCCACAAGCTCTTCCTTGATCAACAACCTTGCACCAAACTCCTTCTTCTTGATAATGGACCAAAACACACCAAGAAGCACATAATGATCTCAAAAACACAAAGGAAAGGTCTAGGGTTTCGAAATGAGGTTATAAGGTCAGTGGAGACTGAGAAATGAGGCTAACACGAGCCATAACTGTGATTATATAGTGCCCAACCCCGAAAATTAGGGTTTCACTAAATGACACGTACGCCCCGCGTACATATGAGTACGCCCTGCGTACGTGTCCGAAGTACCGATCCCACCTCGCATGAGTACGCTAAGCGTACCATGTGGTACACCCCGCGTACTACACAAGGACCAAAAATGAAACTTTTCAACAATGAAGGGCAATAATGAAACATACCAGGATTCAAGTGTTACAACATGAAATCGAACGAGCTCAAGTAAGTTTTCCCAAAATATCCATACAAGTTTTATGCTATGCTTTGA